TTTACTTTGGACTCACCTTCGACAGAAGGATGACATGGGGTCCGCATGTTAAAATGAAACGTAAGACACTTAACCAACGACTCAAACTACTTTACTCTCTTTTTTTTAAATCTTCAAAACTAAAACTAAAACAAAAAGTGAATACATATACATACTTACTTAAGCCCATATGGACGTACTCATCACCAATATACGGCATCGCTAAAAAGACCCAACTACAAAAACTTTAAACGTTCCAATCAGAATTATTACGACTCATAACAAAAGCACCTTGGTACGTGACTAACAAAACTCTACATACTGATCTCCACCTTCCATCAATTGTCAAATATATAACGATCCTTTATCAACGTTTTTACACTAATTTAATTGGACATAATAACAGACTAATAAGAGACATGGCCACAGCTAACATACCTCAGAACAAGAGACCAAAAAGGCGTTGGATGAGAGATCTCCTTCCTTAAACAACCTAAATAATTGGAACAAGTTAGGGAAGAGGTACTGCTAAGTTCTTTCCTTCCCCACGCCTGTCATTTCATTATTTCTTGTATCGCCATCACATTTGCTGATTGTCAACAATAAGTTGACAGGCGCAAATACATTTTTTTATAGACAAAAAAAGATATATGTTAATCTGAACTTTTTTATTGTATTGTGTTAATGAATATATATTTAGGACCGAGATTGCCAGGTTTCCTCCTTAATTAATCATTTAATTAATAGCTGCCCACTTTATACAGACTGGGTGTGCCCCAGTGGGGTCTCCTGGCCACAGGGTCGATCCATGGCTGATTATAAATTACTAGTCACCAGCCGGATTCAAAGCGGGGATCGGCTGACGGGCCTTACATACCCGGGGTCGCGCAACGTGGCTTTCCCTGGTGAACGGCCACCCAAATCGGGCGGTCACCCATCCAAATGCTAACCACGCCCGGCGTTGCTTAACATAGTTACCTATTGCAAGCGCCTTAGCCCGCATGGCTGCCACAGCCCAGTTCTTTTTTTTTTTTTAATGAGTTGTCTGTAATATAGTTAGAGTTTGAAAAAAATTATTTTTTTGTGGTTTGCTATAATGCTGTTAAATATTCCTTTTATTTACGGGACATAACGTATATATAATAAAATGATTTTTTTCTGAAGTAGTTGGTTACGTAAGTATAATTAAGAAAGAAGTCCGTAAATCGAGACCTTGTCAAAATGGACACCTGTGCATTCTTTGAGCCACACTAGTTCCTTATTTTTATTTCACTTATTTTCCAATTGTATGACTACATTAATATTCAAAGCAGGTTACAATTCCATAAATCAAGGTCTTGTCAAAATGGTTACTTGGGCATTCTCTGAGCCACACTAGTTCCTTATCCTCTACTCCTTCCTCAGCCGCTGATCGGGACTCACCTTGAGCATCTCCTCCCTCCTGGCCAGGGCTACCACCTTCATCCCCTCCGCAGCCAGCCGCCGCACGATGGCTTCTCCTATGCCCTCGCTGGCCCCGCTCACCACGGCCACTCTGTTGCTCCAACGATCCATCTCTGGTCTCCCCCTCGTCACACTGCTCTTTATAATATGCGTTCGGTTTTCATTGATAAGAGGGTCTAGATAAGAAATCGAGCATACCTTAATTGATACTCGTTTTCATATCTTAATTGTTTTTCGGACTATTAATTTGGTTTACAAAAACTATATTTAATAATTAACCTACGGAAATAAAAAAAAATTCTCATTATGCAAGAAGACTAAGCTACCAATCACATTGGACCTCATTAATTCTCTGCAGTCATCAAAGAACCTGTTACTAATGTTGAAGGAATGCTACAAACTTTAGATAACTTTATTAAATAACGCAGTTGTCTATATTGAACCACAATCCGAGAAATAAATTTTATTCGCATCCTACAAAAACAACTCTTGTTGTTGAGGAATGAAATAATTGTATTCATATTACTATTAAATGATTAATTGCTTGTTCACTTACTTAAACATATAGGAGAATTACGTGTACCTTTTCAATACTCCGTAAACTTCGGAAATAACAATGATTTTCCATTATAGGAGGAGAGAGGACCCCTATTGTCCTCTCTCCTCCAATAATGGAAAAACCCAAACAAAAAGGTTTAAAAAAAAAAAGAAGACACCAATCTGCGATGATTGAACAAAATATATTCAAAGAACAAAATCCAAAAATAAATGGAACGAGCGTTGAAAAGATGAATATGATGCAGAACACCGAAAGCTAAATATAAATTAAATGAGACTGTAAAAATAAGGGTTTTTTTTTTTTTTCTTATTTCAAGATGGAAAATTATTTTATTAAATGAATATGACCAATTTCTTAAGAAAATAATAAAAATACTTTAGTAAATTAATACAGGTCTGTAAATTCAATAGCGATATTAAATGGGTGCAATGTCAAATCCAAAGGATTGAATAAACGGCTAAATCAGACTTTATCGAATTCATGTCAACTAAATGAACGTAACAAAAATATAACGTGGACAATATTAGATAAAGGATGTGTTGAGAAATATAATAATATCATTTACTGCACCACGAAATATCCACAGACTCAAACTTAGACAAATTGTTTCAAGTATGCACCTAGAAGAATATTTTTAATCTCAACAGAAGGGAGTAAGACTTTCAGGTAGGGGATATAGTTCTTACGATTATCGGAAACAAAATTAACCTAAATAAATTAGATGAAAACAGATCAGGACCATTAAAACTTATAAAACTTATTTTCTAATCATTTCATGAGTTGAAGTGGAAAAAAAAAAAAAATAAAAAAAAAAAAAAAAAAAAGCGAATGCGTTACACAGCAGCAAGTTGATGCGTTAATATTTTTGTCGTGAAAATAAGATTCTCTGACTATCGTATGTGTAAAAATTATGAGTTTTATTTGCATACCATATGATTTGCTAACCTCTTACTATCTAGCTTTATTGTGTAGTTTTGAATTTGTTTAAACAATTTTACAATTACAGTCATAGAAATTACATAACTCAGTAATAACTTTATTAAATTTTATTTTATTTAGTAGATTGCTGCTAAATCTGCAAGATCTTCGGATATTTATTTACCAGTTTCGAGATGACATTCTTAAAACAATACGCACCATTAAGCGGTTTGTTCGTTTTTTTCTCCTCCCAGTTCTTTTCCTTCTCTCCATGGTGCCATTTTTTTTCTCAATAAAATGACTGCCGTTGATTAGTGGTACTCTGTTTCATTACCATTCTCTTTAATTCATATAACGTAACAATTTTAATATTTTCGACGAGGGCAGTTTGTTTGTTTGTTTATTTGGGCTTTGAGGCGTAAAATTCTAGGTTCATCAATGCCTGTTTGTATAATTTTAAATATTGTATGTAGTGATTAATAAGTATGCTGTGTTGTTAGCAACCGAATGTAATTAGGCAGCACCATTTTATTTTATGATAATAAAGTGATTCTCCCTCCTTGTTTTCTGGAGCTCAGAAACTACTCAGAAATAAAAGACTGTTTTTTTTTTATACATGTCATAATTACAGCTTTTATCCTGACATCAGTTAAAACTGAACTGAGAAACACTGTTAAAAATTTTTTATAACCTTAATGAGCTTTCTAAACAAAAACAAAAACATTCGATGACAAAACAAATACAAGGAAATACTGTTGTTTAGGTAAGTAGGTAATTTTAATTTTAGGTAAGACATCCAACACTGTCATCACCACCTATGCCGATGACACGTGTATCCTATCAGGTAATAACTATCCATCTATTGCATCCCAAACTCTTCAATCACATATCACAAGTCTTAAAAAATGGTGTCAAAACTGGAGGATTAAAATAAGTTCCAACAAATCCCATCAAATTACCTTCACTCTTCGTCGTAAACCTATAGCTTCCTGTCCTACAGTATCCTTCAGCAATAGCCTTCTTATCCCTGTCTAACAAATCCGATAGTCAGGACTCCACCTTGACAAACGACTCACTTGGAACCCCCATACCAGACTGAAAAGACTAGAGACCGCCCGACGTTTTCGACTACTGCAGTACTTACTAGACAAACGCTCTAAGCTTTCAATCAATTACAAACGACTCATATATATGAAAATAATAAGACCTATTTGGACTTACGGAATTGAGCTTTGGGGCTCCACTAAACCATCGAATTCCTCTCGTATCCAATCCTTACAATCCAAAACCCTTCGTAAAATCCTCAACGCTCCTTACTTTGTCACAAATAAAATCATCCATAAAGACCTTAATGTTTCATATTAGGCCCAATCCAGATACCTCTCCTTCTATAACAAACTGCAGAACCATCCGAATCCTGTCGTTTCTAACCTTGCTTCCTCCTCGATGACTGATAGCCCTCCGAGGCGTCTGAAAAGATGGCCTCGGGATCTTCTAATATAGAACTTTAATTTGAGTTCTACCAATGGGTAGTTTATCTTCATGTTGTACATGTCATGTTACCAATGCCACATTTACTTGTTGTATTTTCTATGTAATACAGTTGTAAATTTTATTAAAAAAAAAAAGGTAAGACATCAATTCATTACGATTACGAACTATTTTAATCATATTTAATTATTTTATCTAAATAAAAATTGTTGTAGCACAGTTAGATTATGGTCTAATTACTACTAACAAAAATTAGATTCACATATTTTATATAGCATTCGTTATTATTTCTCTCATTTCTGTTACATATACTACTACTAAATACTTCACAAATACACCACATTCCAAACTTCAGTCATTAATCACCCTAATTCAGTTGTCAGCTCTCACTCGAAGAAGACTAAAAAGGCATTGGCCTAGGGACCTAAACGCAATTTAAATAATTTTCAAGATATATCAGCCAGAACGAACGATAACATATTGGCTAGATGCGTTGCAACACAGTTGCATATATAATGTAAAATAAAATAGATACTAATACTTAAACAAAATAAATGTATATAAAAAATGACAAAATATAAGAGAATCTTATTTTATTGTTTTTATCATATGTAATTATGTAAGTATTCTGTAGAACATAAATTGCCTTAAAGATGTTTATGTTGTTTTTCGAAATTGGAAGATTGCCTCATACTGGATCTATAGTTATTTCGGATATCTAAAAAATAAATAAAAGCAATTTAATATTTTATAATTAAAGTTTTGTATGTAGTTAAAATTTAATTTAAATGTATATTTAAAAATGTTTTTAAACTTTAAAGTGAATATAAATAAATTATTGGTAAATAACATTAAAACGAATTTGCTAGAGAGTTATGATTATTGATGGAGTAACTTACATTAACGTTTGCTGGTGACGATAAAGCAAACATTACTGAGTCAACTACGTCCTCTGGTTCCAGAAATCCCACTCCAGGCCTTCTTGCGATGACGTCCTTAGCCATCGTTGTTCGAACTGTTCCGGGGCTTATGCTCTGAAAATAAATAATAAAGAGCTAGAATTTAAAACGCCTATATTAATTTTATCATTATTCTATAAATATTTAATTCATGTATTTATGACGAATAAAATGACTTATGTCAGTCTCATATCTTCTTAATAGGGTCTTAGTTTTAGGGTCTTACATACAGAAAATATGTACAAGATAAAATGTTTACATAGGTATCTTAGATGTTGTTAAGAAGTACATTAACTCATATGATTACTGGCTTTTGAGGTCTTAATGACCAAGATCGTTAAGGCATCATAACCTTAACAAACACGAGTCTGGCGACTCAAAATTGAACCTGTTTGAAATTTATTTTGTAGTAGACCCACGTAATGAATCGGAACCTTTTCATTCTGGTTAGAATATATTAGTTATACATAGAGACCTGATTCCCGTGTTATTGCACATTTTACTCCCTTACGTGTATAAACTTAAAAAAACAAAAAACAAAATATTATATTGAAATTTTGTATGACATATTTTACTGTTTAGGGCATAAATTACACGTTTTTGACTTTTTTGGCAACAAATTCAACTTTTTTTTTTGCTATATCGTTAAATTTATTAGTATAAATTTACATGTGTGTTTAAATATTTATTATTTTACTTTATTAACATGTCCATATTAATTTTATAATTTACAAATATATTATTATTTTATTTGACGCGAAACAGCCCTGAAGGACTACGCGACTATGAAACTGGTTTCTTTTTTCAATTTTCTCTTTTCTGCCCATCTCTGCTTGAGGATATCGCTAAATTTTTTCTTCCTCTCCTCCGTCCACTTCCTCCTGGACGGAAGTTCCTTAATGTCCACCACATGCACCGCACTTTTCAGGAATTTCTTGTATTCTGTCCTATCTTCACATAATTCCCGTGTTATCCCAAGCTTCTGAATTTTCTGTTTTATTTGTACCGTATCCATGGTTAAACTTGTATCCCATAACCCTACTGAAAATCTTCTTGTTTAATCTCTCCTTTGCATGTGTCCATAAAACCTAAGTCTTCTTACCCTCATTTACGTTTCCAAATCAGAGGTTTCACTGTAAATCTCCTTATTGGATTTCAGTCTATATCCTTCTGGTGTTATTTAAAAATATAATATTATAAGAGAAGTAAATAATTCTTTGATTAGGAACGGTTCAAATAGAAGAATTAAACACGAATGGGGTATATTGTTGAAATATAACTTGCCTAAAGTATTGGATTACAATAAAAGTACTTTCTCAGAATAAGCTGCTTTGTTAGAAAGACATTTATTGTTATTGCTTTGACTTGACTTTTTACTAACTCTTCAGCCATTTAGTGTTCCCTCCGGCTTTCAAGTGAATTGTAGTGATTTTTATATTATTAAAAAATAATAATAATAATATTCAATTTAATAAATTCAATTGGGAGAATAAGTCCCAAAAACTTTTTTGTAGTGATGAATAAAACCTGCATCAGCAATAATATTGTAACGATTGAAAATTTCAAGTATCGCAGTGCATCTCTAGTTCTCTAAAGAATTCTTTGGAATTTCATTTTTAATGTCGGATTGTTTAAATTAATTTATTTTCTGATTGCAAATTATTTTAATTCAGAAGTTCAACACAAGGTTTGATCACATTTTGATGTACTAATATAATAAATTAAACAAAACATGATTTTTGAAAGTTTTTGTGTATTAATTACACAATTTTGCATATTTTGATTTTTTTTAGTGTATGTTTTTTGGGGGGATTTTTACATCAGGAAGACCTGGTCGCTAGTTATACCTATCTCTGTTGATAGGTATCAATGGTGACAATATTTTCAACCTCATGGATTTTTTTAATTAAAATAATATTATTTATGTCTTAAAATTGTGTAAATAAATTTAGCTTTTTCAAGGTATTAAATAATTAATAATATTTATTACCGTCACTCTGATTTTAGACTTTTTTTCTCCAAGTTCTGCTTTCAAAGTTTCGTTGAGGACAGTAACAGCGTGTTTTGTTGCCGAATATACAGAATCGCCTTTATTACCACGTACTCTGTGTCCCAGAATGCTGGAAAAAAATTATGCATTTTACTTCCGAGAAACTAACATATTTAAGAAAACTGCAAAGAAATGCCTCAGCGTATAGAAAACTTAGTAAAATGGAAACAGCTACAAAAAAAAAATCTAAATAATTATGAAATATGATAAAGATTTTCTGATAGAAGATAGAATTTAGAGAGAAAATCACCTATTAATATTGAAAATATGGCCATCATCAATATTGTTCTTCTTCATTGATCTGAGTCCGTGTATAGTAGTCTCCAACAAGCCTGTCAAGTTGGTGTCGACAATTGTTTTCATAGTGCTTATGTCCATCTCTGAAAAAATAAAAATAATAAGATTAACAGATACAATGATAATATTACAAAGATTAAATAATTCTACAATCAATATTTGATATTTTTAACTAACCAGGAACAGGAATCACTCTATACACGCCGGCGTTATTCACCAATACGCTGACTGGTCCGACATTTTCTTCTATCCAATTGAATGCACTTTGCACCTGGTCATCCTTGGATACGTCGCAAACATGTCCTCTCACGTACAGCTTCTTTTCTGTCATCTCTTCCTCTAGTTTCTGTAACATTATGAACCAAGGTTCAAAAATAGATCGGATTATGAAGTTCAAGGCATACCACAAAAATATTTTTTTTTTTATAATAATACATAAATGTGGTCACATTTACATTAGAATAATACATAAATACATAGCCTATTAACTATTTTCCGATTTATCATTAAATTAATAATTACCCCTTTAACAAACACCCTCTAATCACAGAAATAAAAATTCGATTGAAAACATTGAAAGAAGCTGCTTGTAGAGTATTGCTTTTATGGTTACCTGGTCACAATGGAATTCCTAAAAATGAAAATGCAGACACACAGGCGAAACTAGCAATAAGAAATGGCTAAGTATTTTCAATAAGTGGTCGCAAAGATCTAATATCTTGGGTCATTTAAAAGGGATGGCTGGAGTTGCAAAATGGTTTGACATAATAGAAAAAAAGTTAAGAAAGATCAACCAATATGTATAACACCGTAGAAAAAATCTACAACTATCACGGAGAGAAGAGGTAGTTCTTAACCCCCTCAGGATTGGCCATTGTCGACTTATTCATGGATATCTGATGAAGTAGGAAGAACTACCAACATATTCCTACTGCGGATGTATTTTTACAGTGCTTAGAGTGTGTGTGGCTCACGACTCAAAAAGATTTTCCACAGGTTCATAACGTATATTGAGACAGGACCCAGACACGACTTCACAACTTATTAAACTTTTAAAAACTATCGGCATATACAATAAAATTTTAAAAAAGTGCAAGTGACTAAATATACTTCAGTGCAAATGACCCCGGTGATCGAAACACTCAAATAAATAAATTAAATAAGATTTTAAAAATAATTAAATAATATTTATTCAATTAATTTCATGTATGTTATTAATTTTTAAAATGAATTTAAATACACTCCTGAATGAATGAATTTAAATACATTCCTGTTATTTATTTTGTCATCATAATTACGTCGGGTATAAAACTATAGAATGACATTTAAGATAATAGAACACTACCATAGCTTTGTATCTGTTTCCTCGTTAAAGCGTTCCATTTTGCTAGATCTTAAACAGAAGTATTAAAAATTAAAGATTTTGTCAATTGTAGAAAATTAAGGATAAAATGTTTGTATGACTAAATATAATTAATAAAAAGTCTTCTAAGACTAAATGTATAAATATATTTATATATGTCATAAGGTCCGATTACCTTGATCTTTTGTGGTAACATTATCACAACTGTTTCCGTCTATTATGCCATAGGTAAATTTTGACTTATTTTACATACTAAATATAAATTAATAATGATTTATATGAAAAATGTATGAAATAAAAAAAAAAGAAAAGAAAAAATAAGTTCAAAATATATTAACGTTCATTTAATACCCAAGAAACATGCCAATAATTTTTTTTTTTCATTCAAACAAGTAGTCATTTTTTTTCACAACTCTTCTTCGGCTTTTAGGCAATACGGAATTTTTTCCAGGTCAGCGGAATTACAGGAATAAATGACGAAGTTAAAAGCCCCCCGTGCCGGGATTCGAACTCGTAAAAACTTCAGTTTATCGCAGATTGTTTCGGGCAACGCTTATTTTGCACCAGAGATGAACAAATGCTGCTCTGAGTAGCAAGTACCAAGTATTTTGCTCAAATGGAATAACTACTTCAGTTATTCATTAGACATAAAATAAAGTAGTAATTAAATTCTTTGCTACTCAAAAAAGGTCAGTATTTGAGTAAAATACTTGGTACTCAGTATTCAGAGTAGCATTTGCCCATCTCTGTGTTTGCATCCCCCTAAGCTCGCTCGGCCAAAACCCAAAATGGATACCTACTTTCTTGGAGAAATATAGTTATCCTCTACTCCTCTCTCAGTCGCTGATCGGGACTCACCTTGAGCATCTCCTCCCTCCTGGCCAGGGCTACCACCTTCATCCCCTCCGCAGCCAGCCGCCGCACGATGGCTTCCCCTATGCCCTCGCTGGCTCCGCTCACCACGGCCACTCTGTTGCTCCACCGATCCATCTCTGATCTCAACCTCGTTACACTTCTCTTTATAATCCAATTTCCCTCTTCATCGACAAGAGAGCCTAGATAAGAAATCTAGTATCTCATTATTGCTAAATTGATTAAAATAATTTCACAATTATTACGAAACTTGCACTAATTCCTTAATGTACATTTTATTTTTTTTCAAAAATCGTTTGAGGTTACAAACACCACACTTAACTCAAAAACTACGGAACACAACTTGCAACAAAGTATTCTGAATTTAACATCATTTTGAGAAATCAACTGGATGCACATACAATAACTACTTTGAACTTAGCGATTTTTACTCGACTAAGTGAAGCGAGACTAGGAGAATGTGTTTGGGTTTGTTTTCTAAATGCTAAGTAACGAATTATTGAGCGAAAGGATGAATCAATTAATAAGTTTGATAGCACAAATTATTCGGTAAGATTCTCTGAGTGTTTGTAACTATTTGCATTAAAAATACGAACCCATTATTAAATAAAATTTGTTTAACCAATTTGTAAAAAGGTATGTATCGATTTTTGAAGTGGACGGTTAGATCAAATTTAAGTTTGATGTGTTAAATTATTTAATGAAGTTCCGTGGATATTTTGAAATAATTTGAGTTAAAAACACATACCCACGGATGTACAAAATGTGTGTAGTCGATTGTCTAAAAGATATTTAACGATTTCTTAAGCGAACGCCTGAAGCGATTTTTAAGTATGATTTCTTAGATTATTCGGTGAAATGCTGTTGTGAATGTTTTAAACGAATTCGAGCTCCGAATTCTTACAAATTATTGAATGAATTGTGTTGAATCAATCAGCTAAAAAGTTCTTAACGATTTTTTGAACGGTCGGCTTGACCGATTTTTAACTTAGACAGAAATAATTACTCACAAGGAGAGAATATAGTCTGTGGGTCACCGATTTCAACCATTTTTTTTTCTTTGTGATAATACATCGAAAACTATTAGACACTTATCCTGGCATTCTTTCCAATAGGCCCTAGGAGCCGAGAAAAAAAATATTCCTAACAATATTTATATTATTCATTTTAGCCTTTCCTTTTCCCGGATTTTTAGGTTGCTATATATTAATCGTTTTACTTTATTTTGTCCAACATTAGAAAAAAATATTAACTATTGTATTAAATGAGTTATAATGTATCTTAAATTATAAAAACCAAGAGGTGCGTCAAGTAAAGTAGGCAAATATTATGAATACATTTTTGTTATGAAAAATTGAATTATATTCCTTTTTAGTGCTCTTTAAATCTCATAGATTCGATTTTTTGTATAAATAAAAGAGTGCAACATTTAGTACTTGATTTTCTTGAATAAGTTTTGTTCCGGCCGTCAAGTAAAGCATTCATAACTCCTCAGAATTTTCTTCAAATTCAAGTTTAATGTAACCGTTGGAGAGCCAAATTACTTCTCTTCCAACTGACACCAACAACTTTTGGAATCCATTTATTTCAAGCTAGAAATCAAGCAAATTTCTAACTGATTTTTATTTTATATTTTTAGTTTTAATTTGTTTATGAAAGTCGGATTTATACCATTTCCTCCTGTACACAGAGACCTAAAGCCTTAACAATTTTCGTGTGAATCGGTGAAACTGTGTTAATTTATCACATGTTTTGTGGTTTTTGACTAAATTTCAAATGATACAGACTATGCCAAAATTGTGTGCAGAAAATTTTATTTTATCGATTGCTATAAAAATTCGTAATAATAGATTTTCGAGGTGTTAAAACTAATATTTACTTTTTTCGCACTAAAAAAATACTTACTCCTATATTGCTACTTCGATTGGTCTAAAATTTACCTATACTTTAGTTATCTGCCAATAAAATAATTATTAATAATCGGTCAGTATTTAAAGTAAATGTGTTTTTAGGGCAAAATAAAGTAGATATTCGTTTTCCACACCTCAAAAAGCCATTGAATACAAATTATTATAGAAATAAAAAAAATTTCTGCCCGAAATGTTTGACTAGACTGCATCCTTCAAAATTTCGTCAACAACTATTTGCTTTATGATAACTTTAAAATATCTTCACCGTTCTCCAAATAAATTGGTAGGAATTTCGGACACTATGTGCTACACATAGTGATATAAACCCGATCTTCGTTAACAAATTAAAACTAATGATACAAAATAAAAATCTGTCAGGAATTTTTCTTAATTTACATCCTCGGAGTTAGGAAATGGATGGGCGTCAACGCGAGGCAGTGAAGACTGGAGTAAAATGTAGGTGGTAGATGTTGGAGATCTATTTCAACAGGTGTCAGTCTTCTTCATTATGTTTTACTTCCTTGTGGGCTCTGAAGAAAACAAGAGTAAACCCACTGTTAACCAAACTATTCTCAGCGGGTTGAAAATATCAACATTTATTTCATGGTCTCGATCCGTATTAAAAAAAAACAAAAAAAACATTTGATGTGAAAATTTATATTTAGATGAAGAAAGGTGAGAATTAAACTGATAAGATGAAACTTGGCCATATTAAAATTAGATTATTCGATGTTGATTGGACAACTCCTAATTTCCTTTTAAAAAAATTGAAATGTAATATGTGATAACCATTTCTAGTTGAAGAGCCTCTTTATTTTTGTTGAAGAGAGGCGTGCTGCATATATGTGATGTTTTTTTTTTTTCGTTTCTGTCCTAATGATACCTGATATATTTAATTTTTTTTTTTTTTTTTTTTAGCTCTTCAATAAAATTATTTTTTCAAACATCACATATTTATTCTTAATGCCGAAAATATAATATTTAAATTTTTTTTTTATTTAAGTAATGTACAATGCAGTTTAGTATATTAAAATCAATGTCTATAATAATAAGCTTAATTATTGAATTATTAAAATAATGAATTAATACAGATATTGAAATTATATCTTTCACACATATATAAATGTTTAGTTCATTACAATTTGATATATTTCTGTTTTCGAGAAGAAATATCATCGGAACCTTGTTTTCAATATTTATTACATGGCGTGCTGAAATCGATCGCAAATATTGACAAATGTTAGATTTGAATATGATAATAGCCGTTCTTAATAAGGTACAAAATAATAAGTTTTTCTCATTATTGCATCTGATAAAGCAATAGATAGATAAGAAATCAAATTAATATTTGGTTGTTGATGTTTTAGCCTGTTTGTGTATACATTTTATATTGCCCAATGCTTCAGTATGTAGAATTATTGCTGTATCATAGAGGCATGGATTACTCAATTGCTCTGATATATCAATTAGTAAAAATTACACAAAAAAAAAATATGTTGTGATTGAAGAAATAGTCAAATTAAATTTGGCAACTGAAATGTTCGGAAGAATAATTTTATTTATTTTAACGTTTTATGAAATTTCTACCTGCGCTGCAGCTCATCTAGCAAATCTGATGCATTAGCTATTAGCTGCGAATTTGTTTGATTTTTTTTAAATTAATGTAGGAGTAGGTCTAGGTCTCTTAGCCATTTTCTTTTCAGTCTGTGTCGATCTGATAATAGGGAGCAGGTAATAGATAGGACGAATGGTTTGATGTGATTTATAGTTGTAGAATGAAATGAAATGAACTGTATTTGTTGTTGATGTAGGATTTTACTGTTGGGATGTTTATGTCGTTGTGTATTGTGTTATTCGAAATGTACCAAGGTGCGTTTACAATTTTTCGCAGAATGTTTGATTGCGTTGTTTGTATTGCCGAATCCCAAAGTTCTACTCCGTATGTCCAAATTGGTCTCAGTATGGTGTTGTAGATCTGCAGCTTCTTACGTAAGTCAAGTGAGGTTCTGTAGTCCAGAAGATGTGAGTTGGTTATATCGTCTTGTCGTTTTAATTTAGTATGTTTGTTCCATGCATGTCTTTGGTCTAAGTAGAGTCCGAGGTACCTTACATAGTCTTTTAAAGACACTGGGTTATTGTCAATGATTATGGGTGGACACGAGGCTTTCCTAAGAGAGAAATTCACGTGAATGGATTTACTACTGTTAATTTTAATTTTCCATTTTTCGAACCTGGTTTGAGGATCATAGAGGTGGTTTTGAAGAGTTATTGATGAGATAGTAGAATTTTTGAGGGAAGAAAAAATTGCAGTGTTGTCAGCGAAACAATAGATGGTGGTGATATAATGCTCAGGGATATCAGAGGTGTATAACGAATAGAAAATTGGACTTAAGACGCTACCTTATGGTACGCGAATGTGTTGAGGGAAGAAACACTAATCAAAAGAATCTTCGGAAGCACAAAAAATCCTGTTAACAAAGAAGAATTATAAAATAAGCAGAAAAATTAATGCGTTTTTAATTTCAATAATTGGCCGTTATGCCAGACACTATCAAATGCTTTCTCTATATCAAGAAAAGCCGGAGAGCAGTATTCCTTTCCCTCGAAAGCAACAGAAATTTATATTCAATATATATCAAGTATCGGTTTTATCCTGGGATAAAGAATGCTTGATAGAAGAAATCACATGATAACATATCAATTGGTTGGAATCCATCTTGCGATTTCGATAAACCTTTTTTTCTTTTTTCTTCAATATAGCCATTTCTGATGCGAGATGGAATTTCGATAAACAGACTGTCTACGGAAACGGAGATACGTTTAAACATGCATCGATTTCCGGTTCTTTGAACTCTGGGAAGATAACCTTTAACTACCTTCTGCAGTTTATCCCAAATGAAATACAAACCTATTTGAATATTTTTATAAATTCTTTTTTTTTTTTATATACATATTTTGTAACTCCTACAACTTATTTATTATCAGTTTTAAACCAACACGTGCAATTAAGTAATATTTTTCTTCAACAACCTGGCTGTTTTTTTTTTGTTTGTTTTTTTAATATATTTTTTAAAAATATTTTATTGAGAAATATTACAATCTGTCACAGTTAAGGACACTTATAAAAGAGTCTTTAATAAATTAATTTTGCCGTTCGATACGGCTGTTATAAATTAGTAAAACAAGAGATATTTTATACTGTGTAATGTTAAACGAGTTTTAAATATAGTTTTAGGTCTAACATATTCTAGGGATCCATCTTTAAACAGATTTTCTTTATGATATGTTGAGAATCTGTATCAATATTATGAAATATAAGACATGTTTTATAAACTCACAGATATGCAGAAAATCTTTAATAAAATATGTAATAGTATAATAACACAAGAGGAACAAAATAAAATAGAGAAAAAAAACAAGAAAAAATAAATTGACAAATAATACATCATGATGATTAATATATAGAATAATATGTTTGCCTCTTTTGTTTATAATTCTTATAGGTTTAAGCTGCTTTAGCATTATATTCAATTTCCCTTATTATGTTCATGTCTACCAATTTTACATGATTTATTATATATATATATATATTTTTAAAATTTGTGTACTAGCAAGTGATGAAATATCAAGTAACAATGATTAATTAATATTTTTTTGTGAATAAGTTCAAGGAAATACTATGTGGTTCCACAGTATACATACATACCATTCATATATGTATGTATAGCACTAGTAGATTCAGAGGGGAGGGGGAAGAGCGTTTAGAATGAATACCCCCATTTACAAAAAAAAAAAAATAATAATAATACTTAAAGGGGCGGGTGGCCGAGCGGACTAACGAGTTGTGTGAAACACTTGCTTCCCAGCAACACTCATAACTCTGTAAATAGAACCTTTCCCCCTCCTCTCCCTCTGTTCAGGAGAAACCTCGTATAGCCTAAAAGGCAAAGAAGTGGAGGGAAAAAATACTCAATCACCAGTTGTAATCTTTTTAAATAACGTATATACCTACAGCTGCTAAATGTAAGTCCGTTTCAAGAAGAAATAGAAAAACTTTACCACTAAAAGTATTATTGTTTCTGTTATTACGATTTATTTTCTCTTATTAATTTTTTTATGGTTTAACAAGTCAGAGACCACTTATTACTGTATACATTATTTTATATAGTTTCTTTATTTTTTCTCAGTGTAATTACCGGTTTAAAAAATTAAATATACTATCCTAAGTGAGTTCATAGTCTTCACTATCATTTGGAGAAAAAAAAATGTGAAAAATCATGGAGCAAGTTTACTATTGGTGCCTATATCCTCTATAGCTTAAAACCACAGTCAATTATTCATTCATTCATTCATGTATGGCACAACATCCCGTTACCGAGACTGGGCCTCCTCCAAGAGCTTCCGCCAGTTGGCTCTGTCTTCTGCTGCAGCTCTCCAGTTCCGCACACCAAGCAGGGTTTTCGCGTCATAGGCCACGTTGTCCAACCATCTCGTCCTCGGCCTTCCTACCCGTCTTACGAGGTGCAGCTCCTCCATCATTATTTTTTTTGGTATTTCAAGGGTGCTCATTCTGGCCACATGCCCTGCCCACCTTAGTCTGGCCAGTTTAATATACGTGACTACGTCGATGTCTGCATAGAGAGAACTGAGCTCCCTATTTTTTCTTTTCCTCCAGACATCACCCTCCTTTACTGGACCATAAATCCTTCTGAGGACTCCTCGCTCAAAGACACTCAGCTTCATCTCATCCTTTTTAGTCAATTATAGAAATTTAAAAAAAAAATCCATTTTGGATTTCAATCATGAAATCTCCCCACCATAAACCTGCCAATATATATACATATGTATATATCTTCTTCATATATGATGTGTCTGTGTGTACAAATTCCGTCTTCGACCTAAATGTGGCAAATTAAAATACTCAATAAAAATATTGTTTGAATTATTGAATATTGTTGAACAACTAAAAAAATAATTAAAAAATTACGGTGGTTGGTTCAAAACAATATGAATGTTATTTAAAAGCCTTTTTTACAGTTGATTTTTTTAATATTTAAAAGACATGTTTTCCTGTACATATAAAGGGCTGAGGTCTGTATAACGAGTTAAACGGTAGTGATAACTTGGCCCTAGAGTGCCCTTGTTCTCCGTGTTGTTCCTAATGACTTGAATTGGAGTTTATGTTCCGGCAAGTTTTAATGATATCGTGTTATTCTGATAACATGGCTCACTCATAACGTTTGCTGCCATAGATAAAGCACGTAAGCTGGCTACGTGCTCTGCTTCCAGGCAAGACGGGTCAAAAAAACCCGGTCATTCTCAGACGTATAATACTTCAGGGATTATTTATGGGCTATATAATTTTGTTTTTAATTGTTTCAGTAACAACTATTTAAATATCTTCTTGTCATTGAACAACAGAATTCAATTTAAATAAAATGACAATCTTATCAAAAAGTAAATCATTGCACCACCTCTTCACGGTCACTTCATCCCCACCCTATTATGTTCTGAACATATCTAACCAAATTTTAATACAAGGATGCATTATGAAAGAACGATTTCTATGATGAAGCCGGTTTAAGAATTAGTGAAAGGTCACTAACATTTCAACGATCTCGCAAGATTATAGAGATAGGTTGGATGTAGGGGCTGTGTTAAATGATCAGGACGATGAAGAAAAAATTGCAATTAGCAAAAAAACAATGTAAAATATATAATGATGATCGTTTTGTAAGCATCGGGTTAGCTCAGTGAATAAACCATTGGGCTCTTATACTTCGGGCCTCAGGTTCAAGTCCTCCTATGGTAAGTAATTATTATGTAACATAAATGTATTGGGACTCTCGTGGGGCATACCCAGCTTCTATAAATTAGTAAATTTTTATTATTTTTTTGTGTAAATAAGAATAATCTTGTAGGCCAGCGTGATATAGACCAAATCATGTTGCATAACCATGAAACATTACCTCCTAACAAAGTGCGTAACCGAAGACTCTGAGTTAACTTGGTCTAAACAAAAAAAAAAACTTTTTTCAGGTTGTGTTGAAACTAGATGAAAAAATTAGTTACATCAATTATCAGGAAAATATAGTACTATTTTAATTTATTAGCTAAGATGAGAAATTAATTTGTTGATCTTCAATAAAATTACATATGTTATTGAACAACAAAAGTAATTACAAAATAAAATATAAAAATTATAAATAATAAAATTTAAATAAGATGCTATAGGAAAACGTTTTAAGAATTTTAGAAATAATAATCAAAGATAAAAGTATAATGTACTACGACAAGGCTCTAAATTAAAAAAAAATAATCTAAAATATAGCGACATAAATTTGACGTAACGGCTAAAAAAATTGGCATCTACTAAACTGATACGAAACCATCAACTTCATAAATTTTCAGTTTTTGGAGATTATCTGTAGTTGTCAACAAAATTTAGTATTTTTGTTAGCTTTCTATTTTTTTTTTAATGTAATAATCTATCTTATAATGATTGAATTATTATAGTGAATGACTTACGGGAATTATACTTCACAATTTTAAATCTACTTTGATAATATTTCTGGTGGAAATCAAGGAAATTGTAACCATATTTAATTAAATATTTTAATTAATCTCATGAGACCTATTAAAAAAATTACAAACTAAAAAAACGAAAACAAAAAATAAAAAGAACATATTATTCAGAAGTGAATTTCATGGTACAGGATTCATTAAAGACTTGAGAATTTTAAAAATACAACTGAAATCGCACTTCATAAGTGAATATAATTGCTTAGGTGTTCTTTTTATTCCCTATCAATGTTTAAATAATACTTATATTTTATAAATTTGTAAATATATTTTGGAAATAAAAGTTCTGATAGTTCGCCTTATTTCGGTCCTGATGGCCGTTAACTTTAACATTCTCGAGACTAGTGTTGCCCAAAATCGGTTTCGGTCTTGCACTTTGCAAAACCAAGAACAAGACCGCCCAAATGTTGCAAGGCCAAGACCAAGACTGGTAAAAAAAAAAAACGTTTTTGTGAGTAAAAATTAAGGCAAAATAAGGTATTATTACTTTAATAAATATATAATTTTAGTTACTATATGTAAAGAACAGGTAGAACCAATAGACTTTTACATTTAATTCTGCCAATTTTTCTTTCGGGTTTGGTTAAATGCTCCTATCTGAAAAATTACAGCAATATCTCTATATTGATAAACTAATAGGTAACTGCGAGACTCTTGCCCAAGAGCAAGACTAGTTTTGGTCTCGTATTTGGGAAACACTACTCGAGACTAAAGATACCAGTTCAAATCCGGCCTGGACGATTTAAAATTTATTTCGTGGTGGACTCCTGGAATTAATCTCCACAATTACCACATGGGCTAGAACAAGTTTGGTTGTATCTTTTAAACAATCCTGTGCTTTAGAAATGATGTAGAGGTATCGAGAAAAAAAAAAGAAGTTCGCCTTATTTGTTTTAAAACTTCTATTAAAATTTTATTATTATATGAATATCACTAATTGTAAAATCTAAAATGCTTCAATACACACGCCGTAAAATTTTACTATAACATAGAAACACTGCTTAGCTTTCTGTGTAATCCAGAATGACATCAGATACCTGCAAAATAATAAAAGTCAGAATAAATTATAAACATTTATTAATTACAAAGTTCAAAACTATTATTGGCATTTACGTTAACACGAAGAGGAGCTGAGAGAGCGTAGATAACAGCATCGGCAACGTCACAAGGCAGAAGATGAGGTATGTCTGGAGTTTTATCCAAAATAGGTTTGCTCATCGTGGTCTTCACCAAACCCGGGCTTATACTCTGGAATTCGAAGAAAGGAATTATTATACAGTTGATGATAAATTCATTGTTATTTTTCACCATGATTATTAATAGACATTATTATTATAAGGTATAATTTTTAAGAAAATTATGATTTAGTCAGTATTAAATATATCGATAATCGCAAACCTCATAAGTGACATGAGTGAAAAAAATATTGTTATCGTGATTATAGAATGAAAAAATAGAATAAATGAAAATAAATCGAAAAATTAATTACTGTTCATAACATTTTGGCAAAAATAAAATAACGTAAAATCAGAAAGTTTAGTACTTCAGTCTAGTAGTTTCACATAGTGATCGCCAATGTTCGTAAAGTAGCGTTTGTATCTTTGTATATACCACCATCGTTGCACATATCATTCATTAGACTTGGCTTCCAAATTAAAATTGGGGTATCCAACGAGCGACTCTGTATTCGTGTTTCGGATTCTTTTAATTATAGTTTAAAAATTAAGTTATAATATTTGTTTATTTGTGTTTTTGTTGCCTCTACCCTGTAGGTTCATTGGTATCGCCTTTTACTAACAGTCTGTTATAGAGCTTTATAATTTTTTAAAAATTCAAAGATTTTCCTCACAGCTTTTTAATTATCTATCAAGTTTTCTTTTAGGTTTTGTGCCAGATCCAATTTGTTTTCTTAAATTTTTAAATATAGAGCAGTCTTGAATGATGTGTTGGACTGTTCTTTGAACCTTACAACTCTCGAATGTTTGTGGTTACAATACTCTTAATGGATAGGCAAGTAAAAACTCTCAATGCCCAATCTTTAATCGGTAGAGGACTGTCTCTTCTTCCCTAGAGAGTCGGTTAGAACTTTCCCATTTGGAACAGTGCATTTGTTTTTTACTGTTTTAATTTAGTTACTGGTTGCTATCTATTCTGTCACATTTTCCAAATTTCTTTCCTTTAATGTTGCAAACAATCATCTATGGGGATTTTGTTAATTATAACCGGATTTCTTTTTCTCATTCCCGTCACATTGGCTGCCTTAGCTGGCTGTTCATTTTCTGTGGTTCCACAGTGTAAAAGAGTCCCGTTAATCCCTTTAATCCTGTAGGTTTCATGACTAAGCGAAAAGGCATACTTGTATAGAAATATTTGTATTAATAGACTCTAGCCGTCTTTACCCGAGCGTTGAGACTTCGAAGATCTGACGGATCAATCTAATTCACTCTTCACAAAAAAGTGCAAAATTTGCCTAAAGAAGTTTTAACTTCAAAGAATTACCGAAGTAAAGTTTTACTCAACTTCATTCTTAATAGGATATAATAAAATTTATGGTTTCTAATAATATCTTTTGATTTCTTCTTCACAAGACCCTTATAGAAAAAATCTCTAAAGGACGGTGAAGTTAATGATAAGAGTTTATAGGGATTCTTCACTATCTACTTTAATGTTTTTCGCCTTCTTGGGTCAATATTCATAGGTCTAGTTATTTTATGTTTTACTTTGCAAGTCTATTTCAAGTTTTAAAAAAAAATTGCTTTGGTGGGGTTGGTGAAAAATCGTAACAACAAATATATATATATATATTATTATTTTTTTTTTTTCTGGTCGCCTGAACCATCCTTTTTCGCCTCGCTCTTGAACTTGAGCTTCTGATTTTTAGATATGGATGCAGCTATTGTATCTGTTGATTTAATCTATCCATCTGGATTTTAACCTTCCAGTTGGTATCTTGTCCACTACTTTGGCATTCAATGTTGTGTAAAGACGTCTTGATGAATTGACTATAGATACATGCCTTGCCCATCTCAAACTTTTTGTCTTCATATCGTCGTCATATTGTCGCATTTTGTACTTTTTAACGATATAGAAAACCATTTTTTATCAGCAGTTTTGTATTATTATTGTTCCTCCATAACCGGATGCCATTTTGATAATATATATATTTTAATATAAAGATACACTTTTTTTCAATATCTGATTTCGTAGAGTTTTACTTTAAAATCGAGAGATTCTAGCGAGGCACTTAAATTAAATAGGAGAGTTTTTCAAGATAAAAAAAATTTAAATATGCATTATGCTCATGATATAAATGATCTTAGAACAGGATTGTTTTTAATACTATAAATTGAAAAATATTAATTATATGACTCTAAAAACTTTAATAACAAGAGAATATTTTTGTTATGAATAATTAGGTTTCTTACAGTCACTCTTATTTTCGAAGACTTCAGATGATTTCTTAGGGTTGTACAGAGAGACGTGACTGCTTTTTTGGACGCACTGTACACACCGACAGCTTGATGTGGTATATCCCTATGTCCTGCAACACTTTACCATAAAAGGTAATATTTATAGCAAACATAATAATATATTGTAACAGGTATAATATTTGTATCATATTCAGTTAAAAACAATTTCTAGGGGCGAGTTTCATAGAATACTAGAGATCATCAATTAAGTTAATGTTCAGTATTTTTATTAATGTGAAGTTTACCTTCAAGCTTATCTTACCCATATTATGAAATGTGTGTAAATTTAATTTAATTTATCGACTGTAAATTATATATATATATATATATATATATATATATATATATATATACACATTTTTTTTTTAATTGATATTTACAACTGTATACATGTACAATAAGTAAATCTTCTAAAATGATAAATAAAACATGATAAAAACTTGTAAAGAAAATATTCATTGGTAGAACTTCAAAAATTAAATAAATTTAGAAGGTCTCTTGGCCATCTTCTTTTCAGACGCCTCAGAGGGTTATCAGGAATTGTTTTGGATGAAAGGTTATGAACTAGAGGATTAAGGAGAACAAGTAGTTTGAAATTAAAAGAGGAGTATCTTAAGCGGGCCAAGTCCTCAACAAAGGGAATGTTGAGGTCTTTATGAATAATTTTATTTGTGACATAATAAGGAGCGTTAAGGATTTTACGGAGGATTTTGGATTGTAAGGATAGGATACGGGAAGAATTTGATGGTTTTGTGGAGCCCCAAAGCTCTATTCCATATGTCCAAATGGGCCTGTTGATTTAAGTGTATATGAGTTTTTTGTAGAATATTGGAAGTTTAGAGCGTTTTTCAAGTAAGTGGTGCAGTAGTCGAAATCTGTAAGCAGTTTCTTGTCTTTTCAATCCATTGTGAGAATTCCAAGTAAGACGTTTGTCCAGGAAGGAGTACTAGGTAATGGATCTGTTCGACAGGGATAAGGGGAATAGTGTAGGACAGCATGTAGTAGGTTTACGACGGAGAGTGAAAGTAATTTTTGGGATTTGTTTGGGTTAATTTCGATTCTCCAGTTTTGACACCATTCTTCAACGGCTGAAATGTGTCACTGCATTATATATTTTTAAAATTTTGTATTGTATAATTTTGTTAGAGAGAACCTGTTTATGACTACTATATGACCTCGGTCCACTGAATGTTTCTTCATCAAAGCCAAACCCTCCTTAACACAAGCAAGTACTCCTTGAACGTTTGTGTTCAGAACGGTATTCACATCGTCCAAATGAATATCTAAAATAAAAATAAAAATAAATAATTAAGTTAATTATTCCTTTACAACTAATTAATGTATTATTTCAAATAAAATACTGTATAAATTATAAGAGTTGTAACATTACTTCAGTCAAATTAGTCAGAATATTAATAAATAGGATTAAAAATGACGAATTAATTAAAAATTAATTTTTGAAACTGGCCATACTTGCTTCTTTAAATTTCATGTAAAATATACTAAAAGTCACTAATGGTAGGGATTAAGCACAAAGAGAAGGGCTATTGAAAGCTTGTTTTTTACATTTCCTTATATGTGTCGTTAAGTTTTTACAAATTATTTTATTTTTATGTTTTTATTACTTAATGATACTTACAACTGTATTATAGAAATACATTTTGTAAATTTGAACATATGGATATAATGACGTGAAAACACTACCCAATGGTAGCACTCTAATGATATGTCTACATTAGGAGATCACGGGGCCTCGGACACCAGAGGGTTATCAGGAATTGAAGAGGAAACGACAGGGTTGGGATGATTCAGAAGTTTATTGTGGAAGGATAGTTATTTGGATTGGGCCAGATCTGAAACATAAGAAACATCAAGGTCATTATGGATGGTTTTATTTGTAAGGGGGCGGGGTGGCCGAATGGGCTAAAGCGTGTGTAAAGCACCGCGAGTTGCCTGGCAACCGGATTACAGATTTGAGGAGATTTATAAAGTACGAGTTCACGTCTCGGTGCCGGAGGGGATTTTAAATTCCCTGCCCTCGCCCGCCGGCCCGGGAAAAACCTGTATAGCCTAAAAGGCGATGTAGAGAACAGAAAAAAAAAGTAAGCCTCTAGTTTAATTTATGATAATACTTTACATATTATGTTTCAGGCATGTACAAATATTTGTGTTCTGAGCAGTAAAATATACTACATAAACAGAGTGCAAATTATATTTAAGCAAGACTTACATTTATTATTATTATACATAAGAATGTAAGTAATTAATATTTCTAATTAAAATTTTATGAAAGGCCTAAAAATATTTCTTCAAACTAAAAAATTAAAATTTACTGACAGATTTTTTCTTAAAAAAAAATGATTTTACGAATGGATTTATATTGTAAGGATACGAGAGGAATTCGATGGTTTAGTGGAGCCCTATAACTCAACTCCGTAAGTCCAAATATGCCTTATTATAGCCATGTATATGAGTATTTTGTAATTAATTGTAAGTTTGTCTAGTAAGTGCCGAAGTAATCGGAAACGTCGAGCGGTTTCTTGTCGTTTCAGTCAGGTATGAGGACTTCTACAAATTAAAATTAATATTTATTTCAAAAGTTATAAATTTATTTTTGAATTAAATATCTTGATATAATTGTTAATAATTTATTATTAAATTAATTGACTTATTTTTAAATTAAATGCCTAATAATTAATTGTTTTTTTATCCTCAAGAACTTTGATACTCATCACAAAGAAGAAATATAGTATTCTAAATGAAGGAGATGGTCCGGGGTGGCATTCATAAAGAGACTAAAATAGTGGAAAAACTATTTATTTAAAGACGAATAAAAAAAAATGATTTAAATAAAATAGTTTTTCCACTATTTTAGTTCTTTATGACCGCCACCCCGGACCATCTTCTTCCTCTAAAATATACAATGGTATTAAATATAATATTCACATAAATATAATATACCATCAAGTATTAAATATAATGTTCACATATTTAATTATGTACCTCTATTAACATATTTACGGAAAATATTACCATCTAGCGATACTGCTTTGTAGGCACCAGCGTTGTTAATAAGAATTGTTATCGTTCCAAAGTCCTCTTCGATACTTTTAAAAGCAGCTTTAACATCACTCTCATTCTTAACATCGCAAATGTATCCCTTCACAGTATATCCTTTTTCTTTCATATCGTTTTCCAATGCCTGAAAGTTTTTTAAAAAAATGGTTTAAACATAATAAATCCAAAAAGTAAGAAATAGGTACATACTTGTTGATTGGTAATGAGCTAATAACGGGTCCTAGAAAGGCGGACAATGGTATTATTTTGTTCATTTATCAGTTTCGATAGTGTTCGGCTCAGATTATTATTTTTACATTAAATACAACTTTAAATTGAATTCACGTTTGTCAACAAGCAATGTCATATTGTCTTCATATAGTTTCCCGAAAAGTCTAACCGTCATGGAAACTGACCGTATTTGCTACTTAGTCTTTACGGGTATTCACCCATCTCCCTTCTCATGGTAGATAGCTCACTCCTACCTCTTCCAAAAAGTTTTATTTCTCTATTCTTATTTTAAAAAGTGCAAGCGAAACTACAATTGGAAAAAATTGTAGAGCATAAACAAACACACTTGCAGTAACTGTTCCATGATTACCTCATTTCTTTGGTTTGAGAGTTCCTACAAATCGGATCACACAAAAACATTGTTTCGTTTAAAAATACGAAACCCTCCTAAAATGTCCCTCTTTCCTGAAAAATTCAAAATCCTATAAAAATAAGCCATCTCAATACCGTAAATTGTACCATGGGATTCCATTCCCCTGGATGTGTCTGTAGTTTCAATCCATTTAATTTTTCTTTGCATACTAATATTTTAAATTTTAAGTCTTCTAGTTGTTATATCAATTCCCTCGATTTTTAATGTATTTTGAAAATTGGAACAACGAATTATTGAGGTCAAATCTTCATTATGTAAAATCATAGAAATTCTGATTTCCCTCGTTTGACACAATATATGGATAATGAAAACAATAGTCATGTATCCTAATCTCTTTAATTAATAAATATTCAGTTTACTGTGCTCATTAATAAATAAATTTCATATCTTTATCTCCCTTTACTAGCCAACATGTGACTTATAATTATTATCCTTATTTATTTAAATGCATACGAGATTAAATAATAATAAAAAAGATTACCTTATTTATTAAAAAAAAGCAAAAACAGTTTATGTATATTATGAATAGTATGTATAGTAATTATGTATATTAAATTTCATTATTTGGGAGCAACATGAGTTTTGTAAAAAAAAAAAAAGTGTTTTATCAATGTGTAAACAGTTTTTAACAAGGCCAATAAGATAGTGACTCCATGTATATTTTGCCACTTTTTAAAGCATAAACGACGCTTTTAGGAATTATATATGTTCTTAAAAATATATTGTAGGAGTATATAACGCATCGAATAGATAAACATAGTTTTAAAAAAAAATCATTAATTTCTTGATTAAAATGCAATAAAACCATTGAAAAAAATGGATATTTATTATCATACATTAAATCAGAGCATAAAGCGGTAATTTATATTTTAATTAAATTAGCTGCATTAGATATTTAACAGTTTATTTAACTAGTGAGCAAGTAAATATTAATTAAAAATACCTTCCAAAATAGTAAAAATATAATTTGATTGTTTTTACTTGTTGTTATAAGTTTATTAATTCATTATAAATCTTAACTTTCTTGTTTTAGAGTTTTTAAATTTATTAGTATAGAAAATTAACGAATTTAAAACTTTTTTTTTTGTTCTATTCATACTATCCCCCAAGAACCATCGTCATAAAATCGCTTCCGTATCATAAAAATGCAGCCGTACTAAAAAGTCATAACTTGCCGAACAGTTTTTTTTTTTTCTCTTTTTTTCTTCGCCTTTTAATACGGAATTTTATGGAGCCGTGAGGTAAATATGGGGGATTATTGTCAGAGTTAAAAGTCCCCTCCTTCCTCTGCACCGGAACGCGAATTCGTAATTATTTTATAAAATTATCTTTTATCAGCTTACAGGGCAACGCAGTGCTGTGCACACATGTTAACCCGATCGGCCACCCACCGCTCCAGATTATCCACAACTAACAAAATTACGATCTAAAAATTACTTTTAAACCTTACGAGATAGAGCTATGGAGCACTGCAAAGACCTATACCATTCTTAAAATTCATTCTTTTCAGTCCAAATTTTGAGAAAAATAACATATGCTCCATTTTATGTGACAATTTGCTACTCAAATACTTGAATATCCAAACGGTTTCAGACACTTTTTTTTTTCTTTTGTGTCCTCCCCTTCCTTGCTTTTAAGGCTATACGAGGTTTTCCCAGCCCAGGGAGTGAGGGCGGGAATTAAAAAGACTCCCCCGGCTCTGGAACGCGAACTCGTGACTATTTTTATGCAGTGATTTCATGTATCAGGTTGAAGAGGTGCTGTGCTCACACGTTAGCCCATTCCGCCACTCCGCCCCCTACGGTTTCAGACACTGCAGCACCGTGCTATAAAAACGTATACCTGATAAAGACTTATAACAAAGATCCAAGCACTTTTTTCCACCACGAATCCATACATCTCATCCCGACAACGTTTGAGGCCTAGTGATTTTTTTTCTTAATAAATAATTTACTCTACAAATATTTTATGTGCTCAAATGTATTTGTTGCAAAAACTTTGCTGATCATAAATTTTGAAACCTACCTAGGGTGAACGCACCAGTTATGGACAGGGAGCCCAGTGATGGGCAAATTAGACTTAAATTGTAAATAGTAAGCTTTCTTGTTGATTTAGTTTCCAGTTTTTTTTTTGTTTTTTTTTCTGGATTGAAGATAAATTCCCTCTATTGACAAGTTTATGAACGAGATTATATCTGCAAAACTGAATATTTTTTTTTCAATTTTGAAGTGTTAAATAGAAAAAAGAGATTCTAAATGTACAAGTTTATAACTATAATAATTCTAGCGGGATAAGCCAAAAAAAGACAAAAATTTCCTTAGCTATGTCCATCACTTGTGTGCTAACTCTAATTGATATTAAATAAAATGTATTTTATTTTGTTAAATTTGTAATGTTTTAAAAAAAAATAATCAGAACGAAAGGTTAATTTTTTCCCATTACACACATTTTCAATTAGTAAAATGTCTTTGGAGGTGTATTGTGGTGTTTTGGCCTTAATTTAATAAAGATCTCAATGAAAGTGAAAAACTATAAAATGGTTTATCGTAGAAATAAAAATTAAATTTTATCTTCTCGTCTAATCATCTGCATATCTCCTGCTTCTTTTTTTTTTTTTTTTTTTTTTTTTTTTTTTTTACTATTTCCTGATTCCTATTTACCTTTAGGTTGTTCATCCTCCTGGCCAGCGCTGCCACTTTCATCCCCTGGCATGCCAGTCGCCTCACGATGGCTTCACCAATACCCTCACTACCTCCTGTGACCACGGCAACTCTGTCCCTCAGGGCTTCCATCTGTTCTATAGCAGCGACCCAGTTACACTGACTGCGATAATAATATCATTATCTGGGAGAATTACCTCATCATTAACACAATAGAGTAATTTTTGTATGTAATTTAATTATTTTATTCCGAACTTATTTCTTTTCATTATCTCTCATGAATAATTAGCACGATTCCCAGACCTCAGTTCCTACAACAGAACTCCTCGTCTTACCGAAAAGATATACAATGCTCCTATTATTTTTTTTTTTATTATTTTTTTTTTTATAGGTTTCAATGACCAGCGAAACGGAAATATCTTTATTAATTTATTTTGATTTTTCTACAATTAACAGCAATAATTTTATTTTTATATAAACCAATAAGATTTAAATTATAGGACCCCCCGAAGCGTTTGAAAAGAAGATGGCCTCGTGATCTCCTCATGTAGACATATTATTAGAATGCTACCTGTGGGTAGTTTCTCAACAAGCGTTTTCAAGTGATTATATTATATTATATTTCAGTGTACACATTTACTTGATGTATTTAAATTGTAATACAGTTGTAAATATCTTGAAAAAATAGAAAAAAAAAGTTATAGGAAACTAATCAACGGAGCACATAATTTTTTGATATTTGATACCAGTCATCTAAATATTTTTTATTCTTAGTACAAAAGAAATAAATTGAAATTAAACAAAAATTTTATCAAAACGTAATCTACGGTATTCTGATGGTCTATCAAATTTAAGTTCGAACTGTTCCTATGACTCGTCAATAATATAATAAATAATAATAATTATTTAAACAAGCAGAAAATAAGAAAATCACGTGTATAATGACTCCAACTATCAGCAAGTTTATTATACAATACAGTATTAACATAAATTAGTAAAGAATAAAAAATAGTAGATTAATTATGATAAACAACCTTCTTTAGGTTATTATTTTTTTGTGAGATTTTAATCTAATTATTATATTTATCAATATATGATTGGGTTTATACAAAACTCTCACAACCTTTTATTTCACAATTGAAACTTTTTTTTTTAATTACTAGAATTATTATTTAACGTTTCGGATCTAAAAAGCCATTTAAAAAAAAAAAAAGATTTTTTCATTCAAAAACAAAACATTATTCATGAAAATATTATCTCTAAAAAGCATTTAATTATATATGTATACAAAATACTACTCAAAGGTAGTAATTGTTTAATTAAATATAAAATGTTTTGTTGTATTTCTTTTCTTGTCATTCCATCAAAACTTCACTTAACCTGTTATTTAATAAATCATTTACAATTTCATAATAATAACAAAAAGAACTTTGTATGCACATTTTTTCCTCTTAAACGCTGATTCATTAATAATTTTTTTTAACAACTGTTTTATTACAGAAAAATGCATGTAAAAAATATATAAAATAACTTTTATTTTATTAATAATAGTAGATTATTATATATATATATATATATATATATATATATATATATATATATATATATTATATATATATATATATATATATATATATATATAACTGTTTAATAAGAGTTACCCTTAACGTTTTAATAATAAAATCAGCTATGTAAATAGCTAAATAAAAACTACGATGATTAAAATAATTACTATGAACATTGATAGGCCTGGTGATATTAGCTAAAAAAAAAATCTTGGAAAACTGTCCAAAACCTAAAATTTGGTTTAATGGAAAAATAAATTTAGACAACTTGATCAATTAAGATTTATTGTTATAAACAGATAAATATTTATCCAGTTATAGTTCTGACAGTTTATTTCACATCTATGGCAAGAATTTTTAAAATTAAATTCTCAATAATCATTTGTTACTTTCAAACATTGGTACTTCATTTAATGCTAAGTTGTTATACGATGTTTGCAATTAACAGATGTAACACAGTTGGGATGTAACTATCTTGAAAACAGATCAGATTCATATGTTGTCTAGTATCACTTCAGATACCTGTAAACAATAATAATAATTACAATGATTATTGAATTGATTATTGAACACCAAATGATATATATGTCGCATTTACGTTAACGTTGAGTGGAGCTGAAATGGCGTAGACGACAGCTTCGGCAACGTCAGATGGCAGAAGATGAGGTATGTCTGGAGTTCTATCCAAATAAGATTGAGTCATCATGGTCCTTACCAAACCTGGGCTTATACTCTGAAATTAGAAATAATGAATGATGATAAAATTTTTTATAAAACCACTATTATGGAGCAGACTAAACTAGATGTGTGAATTGAACTGCATTCGTTAAAGAAAAACATAGAATTTCCTAAATATACACTACTAAATAGAAGGAAAATAAGTTTCGGAGGTGGAAAATATTGCGGGACACCAGAGCGTAAATTGTATGCAACAGTATTTCTGAATGTTGCTCAAGCGTTCGATAGAGTCTGGCAAGAAGCTTCTCTTCGAACTTAAGACGATACTCTCTCCTATCTATTATCTTATTCTTCTTTTCTTTTCTTTTGATAAATTCTCCCTTGTCTCCCAAGATAAGGAACTGTCTAGTATTAAACCAGCCTCAGCAGGAGTTCCTCTGGCGTTAATACTCGTTCCACTGTTATACGTCATATACACAGGCGATATTCCAAGCAGTACTACAACTATAATATACACAGAAGATACAAAAATCCTAACGAGACTTTGTAATATCATCTACAATATGTGACAAACTAAAAAAGATTTGACAATATCTTACAAAGACATTTCAAACTCTCTGTTTTAAGGCATGGCCACGCAGGAGACTTGAAAGAAGTTTGTACCACAAAATGATTGATCACCGCTCTTAGCTCTAAATACTAAAGCAAGAGCTAACTGCTGGGATAATAAATAAATAAAAGGGAAAATAAGAGATACTGCTGGGCACTTCTCTCCCCCATGCCTAACAATAGTTTGCACTATTCAACTTCTTGACATAATACTCACTGGTTGTCTGTATTTCTGACTGGTGCGAGTGAAGAATTAAAGTTTAGAAAAATTCAGAAATGTCGTTCCTCTCCCCAAAAAATAAATAAAATTACATAAACATAATTAAGTAAAACAAATAAACTTTGAAAAAAAATCTTATTTATAACATGTACTGGCATCGAGTGGTATACAAATGGTATTTTGAGATATTGGACTGTTCATTTTTAAAAATTGCTGACAAATTCTAAACGTTAAAAAATTAAATACAATATTTTTCTAGTTAAAAAATTTTTTTGTTAGTGAACCGTGAACATAATTACTACAAGAAATGATAAACCATAATACCGTTATTTATCATAAGATCACTATCAAAATTTACAATTTCACAAATTTTGTAAATTGGTGAATTTAAATAGTGATTTCAATTTATGCAAAAGGAGGTATAGTATATATTTTTAACATTCATTAAAAATGTTCAATTAGTGAGATATATTTCATTCGACCTTCCCAATTAAAATAAATTGGGCTTGCTGACGGATCACTCGATCTCTGTCGGACCAGTCTATATCCCTGATTCATATTGAAAGGGTTATCAAAAATATTATTTTGTTTTAATCTGCTAGAAAGTTTTTCATTTTTAATTGTATCAAATACAAACTATAGTAAAAAAATACAAACTCCGCAGTTCAAAACATTTCAAATCAGACCATACACAGCGGCATGAACATTCCAACAGTAAAAACCTAGATACATAACAAATACACCACATTCCACACCTCAACTTTTAATCACCCTAATCCACTTGTCCTCTCTCTTTCTTCCTCCCTGTTACCAGAGGGGCCTCAAACAAGACTAAAAATGCAAAGGCCTCGGGATCTGCTCACAGTATGAACAAATTTTCAAGAAATATCATACAAAACGAACATCACATTTACTAGATGCGTTCAAACGCAGTTACCAATAAAATATAAAATAAAATAATAGTATCGAATTATAAACTAATGAATTAATTACTATCAATAAAATAAATCCAAAATAGTTATTCAACATATTGTGTTAGATAGTTTTTTTTTTCATCACAACTTTTTTTTTACGTTGCTCTGTTATAGTTTGCGGCATAATACTTTCCATTTTCAAAACCTTTAGATTGCTAAAAACAAATTTTTCATCAATGTATGTACGTATAATTAGTATGAAATATGGAAAACTTTGTATATAAACTCCACTTGAATAGGATTACTACGCAAGAGTGTGAAAAAAAAAGAATATACATATTTAGTAAAAATAAAATAAATAAATATATATTAAAATTTTATTTTTCTATGTTGCAAAACAAGGTTATCATATGAATATTCATAAAAATCCTCATTGCGAGAAAAATATTTCGTTTGGCCTTTCCAATTAAATTAAATTGATTTTGCTGACGAACTACTCTTATATTTAAAAAGATAACAAGAATTGACTTGGAAAATAATTACACAGGTGTGCGTTTCAATTAACTGCATTTATCAAAAAAAAAAAAAAAAAAAAAACAGTGTAAAAATAATTTATGCTCTTAGAATCGATAAAGTAAAAAAATTTAAAGAGACCTCATGTTGAAGGAAATGTCGAAAACAATGTATATTACAATCTGCATATCGCCATATCTGAAGAAAAATGTTTTCTAAACTTTGGTAAAGACTAAAGATATCCAGTTTAATTGCCAATTCTAACGGTAATCTATGACTTGAGCAATTTAAGGCCAGAGGTTTCGTAAAAATTGTTTAATATATTGTTATCCTGGAGATGGATTTCCTTTTTTTCAGAAATAGTTTCAAGAAAAATTAATTAAAAGAACGTCCCTATAAAAATACACTAAAAAGAGAATTTTTTTCAAGACATAAATTTAGGTGTACTAATATATAATTGTTTTATCACTAATACATAATGAAGATAGAAATATTTTGTCATGCATTATTATTAATTATTAATGAATCAGCTTCTCACCGTTAATCTTATTTTCGAAGACTTCAGATGGTTTCTCAGGCTGGTGCAGAGAGATGTGATGGCCTTTTTGGATGCAGTGTAAACACTGATGGTCTCAAACGGTATATCTCTGTGTCCTGCAACACTTAATTATAAAGTTATCATTATTTTCAAGTTAGAAATTAATAACCAAATATATTATGTGTGTTCATTTCTAGTAGAATCCTTACTCAAATTTTGTTTTTAATGAAGTTTTTATTGATATATTAAATAAACAACAGTATTCCCTCAACTCATTTCGTTAATAAAAAATCTCGCAGAAATAAATCTTAGAATATTATTAATTTTCATATTTATTTTAAGTTTCGGCCTTTCCACCATTGTTAACAATTTATTTATCTCTGTTCCATATCCTACATTCAGAATACATGGATACACCAATGGAGGGAGTACATGAAATATATAAAATATATATATTTATTTTTTTACATTAGTTGTTCTATTTTTTACGTCACTGCCAAAATTTCATTATGGAAATAGCATATCTTACACTGCTGAAATTATTAGATTATAAAAAACATATTTAAAAACATTTGTTTTTAATAAATACATAATTTGGTTAAAATATATTTTAGGAAAACACTTATTTTATTAATATTTTGTAAATATTATTAATAGAAAATGTTTTTTTAAATTTCGACCTATTTAAAAACTTCAAAAATGATTAAATTCAAATTATTTTCATCACAAATATCTATTTATGACTAAGCTCTAAGCGAATTGGGCAGCGTCAATTTAGACTATATATTTCACAGAATAGCAATATTTTCAAAATCTACCTAGTCCTGTCATAAATATTGTTACAAGGAGATACATAAAGATTTCAAGAGAAAATTAAATTCTATCAAAAGCTTTATTAGAAAATAAAATGTATATCTATAGAGAGTAAAAAAAAAAAAAAAAATTACTCAAAATGTCCGTCTTTTGCCTTCACACAGGAACAAAGCCGATAATCTGGTGGGTTGAGATCAGGCCTTCCTGAGGGCCAATATGAGGCAGAGATGAACTGTAGAATGTTCTTTTGCAGCCACTGCTGAGTTGACTTGGCCTTGTGAGCTGGATCTGAATCCTGCTGGAAAACCCAATGACTTCCAGCAAACAGGGTATCATTTAGGGATTTGACAATAGGTTCCAAAAGATGGTCCTGATATTTTTTAGCTGCTGTTTTAACTCCTTTTCACAAAAATAAAGCATTGTGGCGCCATCAAAGCAAATTCCCCACCAAACCATCACTGAGGAAGAGTGATGACCTCTTTCCACCCTTCCAATGACTTTCTCGGCTTCTTTAGAGCTGTGTGCGTATACACGATCATTTTAGCGATTAAATCTGTCTTCAATTGTGAAAATTGTCTCATTGCTAAACTAAACCTTTCGATGAAGATCATTGATGTAACGGCCAAGGTGTACTCTGGATCTATTCACTCTATTTTTTTTTTTTTTTTTTTTTAAGGAAGCGATTAGCCTTTTTCCTGTAATTTTTCGACCTACACCCATGCTATGGTCACTTGTTATTATGCGATACATTTATCTGACAGAGATTCCCATTTCTTGATAAATGATTTGTTGCTTTCGAATGGGATTTCTTCTGATTCGAGTAGCCACTGCTCTCACTACATTTACCGTTCTCACAGTTCGGGGACCGGTCTCGAACTGTCACATACAGAAAGGGTCTCATTATATATATATCTAGTGCGGTACACTAACGTATGGCTGATACCCAAAGTTTTCAAAGAGCTGAAAATCTTTTACCTACATTTTCCAACTTTGTGTAAGGCGATCACAAATATTCGGTGCTGTTTATTATCCCACCACATGTTAACTGAGCGAGAGAAAAATAAGAGATAATAATAAAGAGAAAAAAAACTAATTGGGATTCTTATTTTCCTTATCTTGGGATTACATGTAAGGAAAATAGAATAGAAAATGATAGAGGTAAGGATTATCAAAATAATACCGAGGATGTAAATATTTATGGCAGAACTAGGTAATTCCTTGTTTAAAAAAAAATTTATTCTATAAATAATATAAATAATAATTAGGCAGATTAATATAAATTTAAAATGAGCAAAAATTCTAATTTTTGCTCATTTTAAAACTATAAACTATATCCATATTTCTTAACTCTATTATGACAAAGAAACAACTAACATATACAACCAAAATTTATTGTCTGAAAAATTTTATAAGTAAGTCTTTAGATTTAGATAACCTGTTTATAATTACTACATGTGCTCGGTCCACGGAGTGTTTTTTCATCGAAGCCAGTCCTTCCTTCGTACAAGAAAGCACTCCGACCACATTTGTGTTCAGAACAGTATTCACGTTGTCTAAATTAATATCTGAAATTAAAAAAAAAATTTAAGGTTAATTGATTTTAATTGGCAAATAATTTATCTTCATTATAAAAAAAGGCCAAACACAGCGTTATTTTTTAATTTAAAGAAAATTTGTTAAAATAATCATTAATGAAATTGTTCTGAATCAAGTCATCCTTCTTTATAATAAGGTAGATCATTTGTCACAAATAATATGTATCCCGACCTGAAACCTTAATTTTCTTACAAAATACTTCGCTGAATATCTTAAAAATTTTTTATTTAACGTTTGTATTTTAACAATTTGTTTTGTACATTTACTGATTCTTAGAGGTAAGTTAAATTGTATATATTTTGCCGGAAATAAGTCATATTAATACGTGTTTTATTAACCAAAATATAATTAATCTGAATTAAATATAATGAGTAGTTACCGAGTTGTTATAAAATTCATATATCATTAATAGAAAAATTAATTTCATTCTTTTATTTCCTTTATTTTGTTCGGAAGTTGGGCCATTAAAAAAAAAAATAGGAAATTTTAATATTTAATACTTCATTATCTCTGCACAATATAAGATGGAAAGGGCCCAGCTGTATGTTCTTCCTAGCAACCAAGACTCATTGTTATTATTTGGTATCAAAATGAGGGAAAATGCTAAATTGAAACCAAACATTGAAAAAATACATTAAGCGAACGAGGAAGAAATTTCCAATCCTCGGAAAGAAAGCAAGAATCAGTATCCATTATATGACTAAACGAATATATAGTATGATGAAAAATTAAAAGCACAAACATTAATATCATAATTTAATTTCACTAATTTATACTTCAATGGACAAATTTCAACTTTCTAGTATATTTTGGTATAATATATATTTTATAATAGACCATAATATACTCATTATGTGAATCGCTTATTTCCAAAGTGAAACCTAATCATAGATAATTTTACGGAAAACGTGAATAAATATATTTTCTATTACAATTGTTATATCATAACCAATATTTTTTAATAAAAAAACCTGTTTGGTGAAATATCGGTTCAAGAATATTTACTTTATTTTACTTTCAATTTACTTTTAGTATTGATTTACTTTTAGTATTTAGTTTTAGTATTATTTTTCTGTGTTATTTATTGTAAATAGAATGTGAAAGTTCTCTCTGAACAGTATTATAAATGTTCTTAACTGTGACAGATTGTAATAATTCTGAAAAAATAAGTTTAAAAGAATACTTCACAAATGCAAATTTCTTGAAAAATAAAAAGACCAGTTTCGATAATATATCCCAGAAATTTCACCCCTTTTTTAAATATTATTTAGGATCGTTTTTGGAGAGAGAAAAAATTTGAACATTGGATTAATTGGATACTTTTTCATGGCAATCGATACTTCGATCGATATTTCCATAAAAATGTATTGGAGTTCAATGAGCGAATAATCAACTCACGTATAAGAAAACAATAAAGTAAAAATAGCCAAAGTTTAGAACTAGTACCAGAGGCCATCTGAAAGAATAGTGTTCGTAAGAATTTTAACATTTAGCCATTTTTTTTTTTTTTTTAGAAGATAGCATAAATAAAATTAGCATCAACAGAAAAAATTGTATTTTGAAAATCACTAGTTAACATCTACACCTACAAGATTATTTATGTATTCTATTCATAATACATATTCACAATTTACCATCGAGCGATATCGCCTTGCTAACGCCAGCATTGTTAACAAGAAGTGTTATTGCTCCAAAGTCTTCCTCTATGCTCTTGAAAGCAGCTTTAACGTCGCTCTCGCTTTGGACATCGCAAATATATCCCTTCACAATGTACCCTTTTCCTTTAAGCTCGTTCTCCAGTTCCTGTAAATATAAAACTCATACAGTTTATATACACTTACATACCAAAATAATGCAGAGATATTATGTAGAAAAAATATGGGTACGTGGTAAATATATTTAGGTTATGAATAAACTTATAGTATAGTTGTTTAAGATGACTTTTACTTTAGTTGTATAAAAAACAAATTATTAATCATTGTGCAAACACGTTTCGCTATGACCGATAAGATAATAACTCCGTAACTAATATTTTCAGGAATGTCTGTGAATTTCAATTTATTAGCCTGAAGAGCGGACCAAGCCAATCATAATTGGAATAAATTACATCATAGTAGAAGATTTGATACACTAAACAAGAAAGGAGTTGTTGAAAGGTCGGGAAGCAAATGGAAAATTAAACAGTCTAAACTATTAGACATAAAAAAACAGAGTTGTACAAATGGACTCCAAGCATGAGTAAATCCAGAAGAGAGGAAATCATACTATGCCGAACACGGATTTGTCACTACCTATTGTCACATCGGTGTCTTCTTAGAGATCTGGAATCACCTACCACTGTCAGAAAAAGTCCTATTAGAAGACTGCAATAAATTTTTTTTAAAATCTGATAAAAAAGAAAATTACCAGCGACAACAAAAGAAATATTGAGGGACAGTGAGGATGGAGTCGCAACTAGTTTCTATACTTGATATAAACCCAATACTACAATAGAGTATGAAAACTTACCACCGATGACCGTTTAGGATAAATGTGATTACAAAAAATAAAATAAGTGCCTTCTTTTTATAAACGTTAACTCAGTCCTTAATAGCCAAACTCTTGAGGGCGATTCTAGACGAGTTAGTTTTTTTAAGGTCGTCACGATTTTCAATGAGTATGAAGGATTGATACACCATCATAAATTAGACAACATTTTCTTTGAGAAAATTTAGATTACATTTACTAATCCGATTCCTACAGCACTTACTAGACAAACGTTCTAAACTTCCAATTATTTACAAGACTCATATATGTTACTACAATAAGACCTATCTGGACTTACGGTTTCGAGCTTTGGGGCTCCACTAAACCATCAAATTCCTCTAGTATCCAATCCTTACAATCCAAAATCGTTCGTAAGATCCTCAACGCACCTTACTTTGTCACAAATAAAATCATCCATAACGAACCATATGTTTCCGATTTAGCTCATTCCAGATACATGTCTTTCCATAATAAACTTCCGAACCCTCTTGTTTCTAACCTTGCTTCCTCTTCTATTCCTGATAACTCTCAGAGGCGTCTGAAAAGAAAATGGCCTCGTGACCTTCTAATATAGAACTATAATTGGAGTGCTATCAATGAGTAGTTTCTCTTCATGTTGTACATGTCATGACACTGTTTTTACATTTACTTATTGTATTTGTCATCTAATACAGTTGTAAATTTTAATAAATACAGTTTTTTTTTTTAAGTTACCAAGATTAATAATGAACGGGACTTTTAGGAGGTCTAATAACATTATGCCGAATTATTCTACGAATCGGAAATACAGAGATATGCTGCTCGTGTGTGGGTACTGTAACTGCAGCAGTACAGCATCATTAGACTTCCTGAAAGTCCCTTTTTTCTTAACCTTAGTAAATTCATTACTTTCTCAAAGAACATTTTATCATGGTCTATTTAGAATTTAATTATCTTGAATTATTTTTGAGCAATTCTTTCTTATTCATTAAAAAAACGTGACCAACTTAAGAAAAACACAAAATTGGTCTTAATTCCTTTTCCGTTCGGATGCATTAAATGAACTTTTTAGATTGAAATTTTGTCTGGAATCACCTCCTCCCCCAAATTTTGGCAATAAAGAACTAAGATTCCCTCTGTATAGTATATTATACTGCTCACTACACAAATGTTTGCATATGCCTGAAAATGAACATACAATTATTATCATAAATTAAATTAGAGCCCTACATTTGATACTTAACACTTTACTTGCCGCAAAAGACATTATCTTGAGTTTATTACTTTGTTAGGAAGAACTCTTTCTTGGCCAACGATTGTACAAAGAGATAATTTTACCGATATCACGCTCAACTGCCAAGTTTTCCCGTTATTTTTTTTTAATTAATAAAGCAATTAATTAAAAGTACTCGTTTTATCTAGGCTGGTTGTGTCACAGGAGGTTCTCAAGAGGCCAGGGTCAATTCGCGACTCGTTCAACAGAATAAACAATTACCCCACACCCAGACTACAATCTGGGACCTTGACAAAAGTACCTTACTCACTATTCCACTCCCATCAATAAAAAATATCCTTCAAAATAATAACATATATATATATATATATATATATATATATATATAAATTTATATGTTGTTTTATTTCGTATGAGTATATTAGAAAATATGTTAACAAAACAATTAAATATATTAAGTATTTCTATTTGAACGTTTGAAACATTGAGATGAACTCTCAAATCAACGATAAATTTAAACTTGCCTACATGATTATAGGACTTGGCTAGGCCATCTAGTCGACTTTTCCTATTTTCTTAATTGGTTTTAGGTAACACATTTTATTCTTTCATGTTAATTAATTGTTATTGATTTTGATTTTTTTTTCTTAATCGAAATATTGGAGGTGAGGGCATAAAGATATCCTTCTCTCTTCTTTTTTTGGGGGGGGGGGTGAAGGGAGGGAGAGAGTGATCGACTCCTCACACTGTTGAGGTCTACGCCTATAACAGTAAATAAATTTAAACATAAATTTTTTTTATCACATTTTCTCTATCGTCTTGACTACTTAAAGGGTTTTTTAAATTTTCACTTTTTAATGGGTGATCAATACTCCTCTCGATTTTTAGATAGTTTAAAGTGAAGAAATCTTAACACAGGTTGAATAACGTTAAGTCAACACCAAGAAAATATCAACACTACTGTTTGTAGTAGTTTAACAAACAGAAGATTACATTTTTTAATGAGTTCATTGCATTATATAACCTGTTTTGGAACATTCATCCTACAACAAAATTGAAAACAAAATATAGGTCCCCAATATGTGAAATCTTGATAAATCATTATAAACCATGGATTAAATGTACATAGCGGCATATTTTTGAATCGTGGTAAGTGCTCCTTTTTGTATTTTTAAAAAACTATAAGCTAATATTAAAATAGATCAAACCTTATTTCACAATAAGCTTTGATATATTTTTAGATTATTATGGATAAATAAAAAAAGAAATATCTCTTGTATTTTAAAAATTTGAGTCACGGAATATTACTTCGATTTATATAGATTAATATTTTGTTTGTTTCTATAGTAAATTCTATAGTACGTTTCGTTTATTTGATTTATTTATTCAAACATTACCGTGACATGTAATGCTAAATTAGGCTAGAGGCACCATTCCTTTGTAATATTTACAATTATTTTAATACTTTTATTTCTTTTTCGTATTGTATTTTTTGATCAAGGAATTTATTGTCGTTTGCTATTAACGTTCTTGGATCTTGCCCATTGATTGCAATATTTTGGTTATGGTTGACTATTTCATCCACGAGTTGTTTGGAGGTTATGTGGACTACATACTGGTTATTGAATATTTTTTTCCGGCAAAAAAGAATGTTTTTTTATTTTTATTTCTGATATATTTTCAATATATGTCTGTTGGGAAACCCCATTAAGCAAGCTGAGTACTATTCTCTGTCCTTTACTTGGATATTTTTGGATATTGTTAAAGCAAAACTATTACCTTCAGCTTTGTGACTTATTGTATTTGTCTGATTCATTTTCTATATTTCTGATCTAAGAACTATGTAAATATCCTCAAATAAAGCTATGTTTACCCTATAAACACTATATCTGTACAGACGTTAACTTGAAGCTCTATGTTACGCTGATCATCATTGTAATTATAGTAATTTCATATTTATAAAAAAACATTAAAAAAGAGAAAGCAAAAATGATATTATTCTACGAGAAATTTAATTCTTAATTTTGAAACCCATCTACGGAATAGACTAATAAAACAATGCTAATCAAGAGGACGTAGTCATTTAATCCTCAAGAGTATTAGAATTAAGTTTTATCCTCTCGTCTACTCCTCGGTAAATAGACTTACCGTCAGTCTGTCTATCCTCCTGGCCAGGGCTGCCACCTTCATACCCTCCGCAGCCAGCCGCCGCACGATGGCTTCTCCTATACCCTCGCTTGCACCGGTCACCACAGCAACTCTTTCTCTGAGGGCCTCCATCTGTACTTCAACTGGTACCAACTTCAACTGTTTCAGTTTTATAGTGACTGTGATGATAAGATAATTATCTGAGTGAATTATCTTCGACTCGTTATCAACAATGGAAGCGAGCTCTCTCTGATAAAGGGAAAGCATCGTGCATAAGATCATATCTGCCTGATGTCGGTAATAAAAATCAGAATAATCAATTTTGTTTTCAGAAAGAAACTTGTTAATTTTATCATACGAGCTTATTTTCAATAATAAAATTTTCATTTTGGTAAAATTTGGTATGCTCAGTTACGAAGGTTTATACATTTGCTAATTTATATAGATACTTGTAATTTAAGAATATAATGGCTATAGAATGTGATAGACAATAATGTGTTGTTTTTTTTCATATTATGTAAAGATGAATTGAGATTTTTAAATTTTTAACTTTATGGGAATGGAGTCTCTTGTACTTCATTGAACGTCTGCATTTTAAAGGATTTATGAAGATTCAAAGGTTTTAAAATTTTGTAAGAGTTGAATCGTTAGTTTAGTGATGGGACTCACTAGTTTTCTTGTGTCGATCCAGTTAGTTGATAAACCTCAGTCTAGTCAATCTAAGGCTTTTTTTTTTGTAGTCGTATCGTCGGAGTTGATATATTAGTCGCGTATTTTAGTCAATACAAAATTTTAACGCGCCTAAGTGTTATAAAGTCTGTCACAGTCAGTACTTCTAAGATATTTTGGAGTTCTATTTTTGTCTTATGTGTTTGTATGTATGTTTCACAATAGGTTTTTCCACTCCGTTCTAATATTACTTGAGGCTGATATTTCTTAACATCGGCGCTCCATGAAAAAGGGCTGGTCTTAAAAAGAAACTAATAACTTGAGGCTAAGGGATAGATTTTGTAAAGTCAACACAAGTTTTAGTATAATGTAATATAAGCTTCTAAAGTTTATGCCTTTCTGTAATCAAATTCATGAGACAGGTAATCGAATAGATAGAATAGAATAGAAAATCATCTTTATTCTGGGACTACGTCCCTTAAGAATAACAATATTGTTCAATCCAATTGACAGTAAATCTTGCCAGATGACCTATTATAATAAAGAGTAACTATTATTTTAAAAAGAGTAACAATCGAAGCAATAAAATGAATATATAAATAGGGTACAAGGGTTACAATATTATAATATGCTACAAAAACAAATTCATGCTAATAATTAAATAAAATTGGAAAGGAACGCTAAGATATATCACTTACTGCTGTTAATTAGGTTAGAAATTTTCACGGGTTTAAGTGTTGATAACAAAATGGTTCGATATCAATTTTATCAAAGAAGGACTCTTCTTTTGATTAGGCGGTGGGTTGAATTAACATAACCTTATAGGCTTTTGCATTGTATAAAATATGTGTATAAAAAAATTATCCCAAGTATTTTTAATTTTAAAATAAGTTTTATAAATTAAAAAAAAAAATTAGTAAAGAAAAAGATGGTTGGGATGATCAGTCAAAATAAAATAGTAAAAATAAATACAATTATTCACTAGAGTCAACCATCAACCCACAATTAAAATATTATTATGTAAATAATAACTATGAACTATAATAAGCCTAGTGATTTAAAAAAAAATTTAAAAAATGTTTTCCTTGAAATTGGCTTAAAAGGTTAACGTGTTAACGAATGGGAAAAATAAAATAAAACAAATGGATCGATTGTGAATTTTTATTGTTAGAAATTAATAAATATATTTCCAGTTATAGTCCTGGAATTTCACATATGTGGCACAAATTTTAAAATTAAATTCTCAATAACAATTCACTACTTTTAAACATTCTAACATTATTTAAAGCTATTTATACTGTTGAAAGATGTTCACAATTAACACAGTTAGTCTGTTACTATCTTGAAAGTAGCTCAGCTTTATATGTTATCCAGAATGATTTCAGATACCTGTAACAAATAATAATTACAATAAATGTAAAATTTTGTATTGAGCAACAAGTGAAATATAAGTCGCATTTACGTTAACGTTGAGTGGAGCTGAAACAGCGTACACGACAGCTTCGGCAACGTCAGATGGCAGAAGACAAGATAAATTTGGAGCTTTTTCCAAAAATGATTTTGTCATCATGGTCTTTACCAAATGTGGGCTTATACTCTGAAATTCGAAATAAAGAATGAACATAAGGGTTACAACTAATATTTTTTTATTAAATCACTATTATAACTAAACTAAATGTGTGAATTTCATTTTTTAAATTATAAAATGGAGTTTTCAAATTATACACTATTAAATAGAAGGAAAATAAGTTTCAGAGACGGAATACATTAAAAGGTACTAAATCATAAATCGTTTGCTACAGGAGGATTTCTAGATGTTGATCAAGCGTTCGATAGTGTCTGACATCACAAGCTAATCTTCAAACTTAAGACGATAGTCCATCCTACCTAGTATCTTAATCTTCATTCTTTTCATTCTAAAAGATTCTTCCTTGTCTTCCAAGGCAAGGAACTTTCTACTATTAAACCAGCCTTATCGGAATTCCTTTGGTGCCATAACTCGCTCCACTGTTAACGTCACATACACAGCCAATACACCAGGCAGTACCAAAACTATACCTACGTCAAAAAAATTAAATTGCCCAAACTATTTAAAATTCAACCAAACCAAGACTAATTCCAAAACATAATTCTCACTTTCCGAAATAAAACTTGCTCTTCTGTTTACCTTGACAATGCTCACATTTCTCAAACAGATATAATGCGATATCTTGGACTGACTTTTGACTGAAGCATGACATCGCAAATTAACCAAAAAAAGAAAAACTTTAAACCTCAGACTACTACTATTATATTCACTTTTTTCAAGACGCTCAAAAGTAAAGCTAAAACAAAAACTAAATACTTAAATTTACCTACCATATGTACGCTTTACAGATTCATTCAATAGGCAAAAAAGATTCACATAAGTAAACTACAAACGTTTCAGTCAAAAACTTTCTGAACTATAGCTGAAGCTAGACAGTACGTCTAGCTAAACATTACATTACATAAAGACAATAAGTTAACGACAACATACGAACACACTACAGAATATTTCTTCAATATACTAATATCTGTGATGTAATGTGAGAATGTGCTACAGGATAGCACACTTACAAGGTATAGTCACAATTACCTATCCGTGGAGCATAAAACGAAGCTGAATTAAGAATCTCTTTGGTTAGTTATAAATACTAAATTCAAAGAAAGGAAGGGTTACCGATGGGCACTCCTCTCCAATAAGCTTAGCAGTGTCTCACATTTCTCGACAGCATACTCACGGGTTGCATTTCTGACAATTTTGAGTGAATAATTGAAGTTCCAAAATAGAAAAAATGTTTCAGAGATATTGTTTCAACAGAAAAAAATAATAACTGTTTCACAACTAAAAAATACTAATAAATAAGCAAATAATATGGCACAAAAAAACAAAATCACAAAAAAAAGTTATTTTAATTACTACCTTTAACGTGCACAGTCATTAAGCGGTATATTATTTTTTTTTTCTAATGTTGGACAGTGAATTTTAAACAAATTGAAAGTTTTTCAAAATGACTAATAAAGCCAAAACGTTAAAATATTAAGAAACAATTTGTTTCTTCTTAAAATAATATTTTTAATACTGAACTGTTGTGGTTGGTTGGTTGTATAGTAAAGGCGTAAAAGCTGTTGGTCATCAACGCTGTTAATTAAAATTATATATTATTACACCTTTCGGTTATGAATTTTAATAATTTTATAAAATTAAAAAAAATATAAAATGCACGTTAAGGTTAAAAGTTGGTTATTGTTGTTAAAGTTTAGTTATTGAAAGTTCGCACGTTAGGTAAAAAAGAAAAAAGGAAAAAAAAAGTGGTCAGGAAAAAAAAGAAATAAATAAAAAAAAATTATAAAAGAGGTGGGGAGTCCTGCGTGAGAGGTTCAGATATTTTTTTAAGATTCTTTCTTCGGAGAGAAAAACATATGATTTCGCCTAGGATTTTTTCGTCATTTCCCAAAGCTGTGATGTGTATCACACTAAAGAATGAACAACCATAATATCCTCATTTATCATAAGATCTCTATCAAAACTTACAGTTTCAAAAATTTCACAAAGTAGTGAATTTTTATAGTGATTTTATTTTATACGTGAGGAGGTATTTTATATACTTTTAACATTTGTTAAAAATGTTCAATCAGTGAGATATATTCCATTTGCCCTTCCCAATTAAAATAAATTGGGCTTGCTGACGAATCACTCTCTATATCCCTGATTCATATTAAACAGGTTATCAAAAATATCACTTTGTTTTAATTTGCTTAAGTTTTTATTTTTAATTATAATAATTAATAAAGTGAAGGCTTAACTACAATATATTAAGACAGGAATTTAAATGTAGCAATTATATTATTATTTTATCATTATTACTCTAATTACCAAAACATTAATAACAAAATACATTTTTTTGTTAATGATTAAATCAGTTTCTTACCGTTACTCTTATTTTCGAAGACTTCAGATGGTTTCTCAAACTGGTACAGAGAGATGTAATAGCCTTTTTGGATGCAGTGTAAACACTGATGGTGTCAAATGGTAAATCTCTGTGTCCTGTAACACTTTATCATAAAATTAAAATCATTATTACGTCCAGGATTAATAAACAATTTTATTAAAGCCGTTCAATTCTAGATCCTTACTCAATTTCCTATTATTAATATAATTTTCTTTGGTAAATTAAATAAACCACGTTATTCCTGCAACTCATTTTGTTAATAAAAAGTCTTTTGAGCACAAAAAGAATACAAATATTAATTTTCGGCCTTTTTCCATTTTTTGATATTTTAATTATCTCTGTACCGAATTCAGCGTTCTAAATTCACACAATATATCACTGGAGGCAGTGCATGTTCATGATACAAAATATTTAATATTGAATTTTGTTTACATTAATTATCTTTGTGTTAGCATTTCTGAAACTAAATTAATATTTAGATAAAACATTTATTTTTATTAAGAACATAATTTAATTTCAATTCATAATTAGGCAAAATTTATTTCATTAAAATTGTGTAAATATTAATAATATAAGGTAATGAGGAAAAACTGCGGCCTACTTAAAATCAAGTTTGGAAATCTATAATTATTTTTTTCCACAAATTCGAGCAATAATTATTATATTTTATTTTTAATTTAAAAATCATGCCTGTTTTATGTATAAAAATTTAAATAAATTTTGGTGTTTATTAATTAGATTAAAAATGATTATAACTCACTTAGTGATACAGTTTTACATTGATAATGATTATTAAATTATGATAATTATGTCATCTTCTACACACAAATTAAATTAAATATTAATATGAATGTATGCTTCATTAATGTACACATTTTTATATATTATTTTTTTGAGGTTGCTTTACTGCTACGCGGAACCAGCACAATATCTATGTATATATATTCGTTTTTGGAAGACAAAATTTCAAATGAATTTCGAAATAAAGATCTGTTGATAATATTCTCTACCTACTACTCCAGACTCAAAATGTATCATAAATATTACAATAAATTTATATTTCTGATTTTAAAAAGTATTACTCAAGAATTATTATTTTTGTTAATTCTAAAAATTTTGTTCCAAAATAATGATCAGTATATAATTTTTAGCACTTATGATAAAAAAAAAAAAAATCGATTTTAATAAAAACCATCAAATGATTTTTAAAAATTCGAGATCAAAATTTTATCAGATTTAATTTTTTAATTATCGATTTCAAACCCTGCTTAAAACTTTAATCTAAATATATTTTACGTTAATGGTATTTATAAATTAATCCTGAACAATTTGGGCAGCTTCAAATCAGGATGAATGTATTTCATTCGGGTTGCAAAATTATGATTAAAAAAAAAAATTAATTCTACAAATATAAATATCACAACTGTTCATGTTTTTAAAACTTGTTAAATTGAGGCTCAACAGTTTGTTGCATTTATTTTATTTTCGTATAAAATAAAAATGTTAGTTTTGCTATAAATTGCTAAATTTAAAACAATAAACTATACTAATTCGTATTATCTCCATAATAATAGTTAATTAGTTAACATAGACAGTCGAATTTTATTGCCGTCGAATTGCATTACTACATTGCATGCAAGTCCAATTGCATGATTGATTGATTGCATATGTTTTTCAAATTAAAAATTTAATACTTTTCTTTTTATAATAACCTGTTTATAATAACTACGTGTCCTCGGTCCACCGAATGTTTCTTCATCGAAGCCAGGCCTTCCTTAGTACAAGAAAGTACTCCGACAACGTTTGTGTTCAGAAGGGTATTCACGTTGTCTAAATTAATATCTGAAATTTAAAAAAAAAATTGGGTTAATTAATTTTAAAAACAAATAGTAATAATAATAAAATTTATAAAAATAACCATTAATAAAATTGTTTGGGATTGGTTCATCCTTCTTTATAAAGAGGTAAATTATTTGTCATGAATAATTAATTATCCCTATCTTAAACGAATGATATGATAATTGACGTAAAGCAAAACATGAACTTTATAATTTAATTGAAATAATTAATACTTCAATGGGTAGACCATAGTATGTACTGCATGTTTAAAAAACAACAGAAAATAGCATAACAATCAGAATATCAGGTAGTTTTTTGTGCAAATAGACATATTTTACCCTCCTCTCTTCTCTCCCAGGTGAAGCTAGAACAGTTGTAGGTTTATCTTGACTTCAGAGGACGTTAAGGCCAAGAGTTTAGGCACAGTATCTCAGGTCATCTATAAGCGTAGTATGGGTTCGAATCCAACTTATTGGAATTAACTTTAATTAACATAATATAGCATAATGAAAAATTTTCTCTCAATTTTAATTTAAGGAAACCCGTTCCAAAGTTGATGTTCAATGTGACACTAAGCCAAAAAAATATAATTTGTTTTATCCTCTGAGAAAAATTTGAATATTTAGGCCGACAATTGAATATAGAGGACACAATATAAATACCATCAACTGATAAAAAAAACTCATTTGTATTTTAACTATCAAAGATATGCTATGATAAGTTGAAGATATCGGATGTTTTTTCCTTTTAAATCATTAATATTTAAAATGGTGAAGAAATAATTTAAAATTGATAGTATGGTTGGGAAGATAGTTACGGATAAAATTTAGTGAGAAACACAAACAAAAAATAAATAAATAACGCAATAAAACACAACTACACAAAACAAAATAAACTTGTGTTTGCCTTTCTCACTATTTGCAACTCCTAACTATTACTAACTTATCTACCATTATTGCTTAAGAAATGTTCAAAATTTGTCATTTTTGGCAGTAACACATGGGATTTCCCTTGAACAGAATATAAAGAAGAGTTTATTTCTTCCGACAAGCAGCCCTCATTGACCAGAAATTTTATTGTGTACTTTTATGAAAAAAAAGAAAAAAAAAGAATTAAAGTGATAATGATCATAATAAAATTGAGATAGAATTTTTAAAATAATAAATAGTTTCATTTCACTTTCATTTTTTTTTTATATTCTTTTATTTATTGAATATTACAACAATCTGTCTCTTGGACATTGGTTATAGTGAGGTAGGATAACATTCACACCATATGTACAAGAAAATAAAATAAATAGAAGAAAAATAATAATCAAAAGTAACTTTCATTAAATGACCTTTTCTTTACACACCCTTGTTAATTAGCTAGTCCCAACTCTTAAATTTTACTCTTATCTTAATAATTATCTTAGCAAATGATAAAAACAACCTTTTTATTTTAAAAATCGAATCTTCATTGGTAAATAAAATTGAAAATTCATGCAGGTACATTATATATATCTTAGCTTTGTCGATTTCCAAAAATAAAAAATAAAAGGAATCAGCGCCCACTTGCATTCCCGGGTTAGGGCACCAAACCATTTAAGTCTTAGTGGATTAAAACTATTGCAGATTTTTCACTTAAATATGTAATTAATGAATTAATGAACATATCTCTCTTAATACTTAATTCAACACGACAGAATTAATAATAGCAAAAGTGGAAGTTAATGATCCAACATATGTTAGCATTATTGTCCAAATTCTGATCACAGGCTAATATCTTTGCAATCTGGACCATAACTTATATAAGTGTATGCGAGTGTGTAATTTTTTTTTTCCTTATGAAATCAAAATTTTATTTTTTACGAAAAAAGAAGAAATAGAATTAGCATAAAAAAAAAACCAACAAGATTATGTATATAATATATTCACAATTTACCATCGAGGGATATCGGTTTGTTGACGCCAGCATTGTTAACAAGAAGTGTTATTGCTCCAAAGTCTTCTTCTATACTCTTGAAAGCAGCTTTAACGTCGTCCTCTTTTTGAACATCGCAAATATATCCCTTCACGATGTACCCTTTTCCTTTCAAGTCGTTCTCTAGTTCCTGTAAATACAACATAAGTTTATACTCTCTCGCGCGCCAAAATAATATATAGGGAATAGTTTCTGAAATTAGGTAAGAAACACATAAATACGTAAGAAAATATTCTGTTATCTGATTGTAACATTTCATTTAATGTAACGTCGCAAAATTCGGACAGAGAGGCTCCTAGGTAGAAAATAATATAAAACTAATGTCTTTTTCTCAATATTGCGCTTAATTCGAATATTAACAAAGTTTTTCTTATTTTTTTAATTGAAGTTAAGGTTTTTTATGTAAGTGTACATATACTCTATGTTAATTATTTCAAAAATATGTAAAGTATATTTGAAATATATATTTTTATAAATAAAGGTTTTAATTATTTATTTTACTTTGGTATTTATTTATTTTTTACAGTATGTTCGGCAACGCCAAAAATTATTATTTTTAAAAGTATTATTATTTTAAATAAACATAATTAAAATAGTGATGATCATTTAATATTATTATGATAGTAATGATCATTTTTTCTCTGAGTTTTAGGAACATTTCAATATATAAAGATTATGATATTCTTTTGTGCCTGAATAGAATAAATTTAATAATCATTTAAATTTGTTTTTCCACCTAAATTAGAGCGATATAACAAATGACTGGTATGATCCAGTGAAAACTCTAACATTTGAAAACAATAACTGGCAAGAGATGATTACGGAGGTGGGGATCACAAATTTCAAGGAAACTTTTTTGGGTGAAATATGTCGAAAAATATTTGATCTATGTCTGAGGGTTCTAATGATTGTATTCTATTTTATTAATTATTTAATTATAATTAATTTTGGTATGCCTATTATTAGATAATATCATTCTGATTTAAGTTGTGGTGAAAAAATTGGCTATATTTAGTGTATTTATAGTAATAAAAAAATATTAATCATTGAGTAAACAAGTTTCTTAGTCACCGATTAGATAATAACCTCCGTTACAACATACATGGTCAATTTTGTGCAATCAGGAATAACTCAAGTGTTTAAAAAAAAATATTATTTTTTTTAATTATTCGAGGATGGATGCAAATAAACTTATGTACCTGTTCATTATAACCGCATTAGGGTAAAAATGTTTAATTCTATCTTAAACTAAATCCATGCCGACACACAATACATACTTCCACCATTTAATTAAGGAACTAAACCAAGTCATGATCAATTGGTCAACGGAGTTGAAATAAGTCTGTGTTAAACAAGAGTTGAACGAGAAATGTAGACCATATAAAGTATAAATGAGCACTATAAATATGTATTTCATCAGTAGTTGAATGGTTTTAAACTATTCTACTATAAGCCGAATCCAGCCCAAAAGTCGTATCTCGAATCTTGACATATGAATATGAAGCTAAAAGATTTTGAAAACAATGTGTACTAAAAAAAGAAAATTATGAATACAATTTTAGTATAAGACAATCTTTTAAAATTCACCTGCCATAGATGAAATTAAAAATATTTTCAGGAATGTCAATTTTGAAAATGTGAATTTTAATTTATTAGGTCGAAGAAATATTTGTAGGCCTTTTAAAAATTTTAATTAGAAATATTAATTATCTACGTTTCTCATGAATAATAATAATAAATGTAAGTCTTGCTTATATATAATTTTGCATTCTGTTTATGTAGTATATTTTACTGCTCAGAACAAAATATTTGTACAGGCCTGAAACAAAATATGTAAAGTATTATCATAAATTAAACTAGAGGTCTACTTTTGATATTCAACACTTTACTTGCAGAAAAGGGGGTTACGTATGAATAAAAAAAGAAGAAAACAAATGTACCACAACAACGCATGAAGGTTCAACAAAGTACAGTACTTTGTTAGGAAGTACAGTTTCGTGGCCAACGGTTGTGTACAGAGTTGATCTCACCGGTACTGATGCCAAGTTTCCCCATAAATCAAGTAATTAATTAAAAGTACCCACTTTATCTAGGCTGGGTCTGCCGCAGGAGGTTTCCTAGACGCCAGGGTCAATCAGGGCTCGTGCAGCAGAATAAATAATTACATCACAACCAGACTCGAACCTGGACCTTGACAAAAGTACCTTACTCACTATTTCACTCCCATCAATAACAATCATCCTTCAAAATAATAACAATATTATTTTATTAATTTACGTGTTTGTATCATTTTACCGAGGTGTTGGTCAGAAAATTAATTTGTGTTCTTTCTTTATTTGCTTGCTTTTGAATTACTTATGTCATTGTTTGTTTTTTATAATTTTTTTATTAAAACTTTTCTCCTAGGTCTGAAATAGACTTAGGCAGTATTTTAAATAAAATGTTTTAAATACATTTACTTTTTTTTTGGATCTTAATAAATAAAATATAAAATAGATTGTTTGTAACTTTAGTTTATTTTTAAAACACAAAATCTAAAACAAATATTTGCCTTTTCTTTCGAAGATATTAAAATAAAATAAAAGTATTTTATTTAGTATTTTAAATATTAAATTTAATAGATTCATATGAGTTACAAAGACGTATGTATTTTTTTTGTAATTAAAATTAAAAATACGTGTAATATTTTGTAATTGAAATACGTTTCCTGAAAACAATTTTAATAGTTTTAATGAAAATATATTGTATTTTTAAAATAAAAATTATTTGTTATTTTAAATATTGTATTTTAAAATAATATTTCAAATACGTTTTGCACAGATGTGGGCTGAAAGTTCAACAGGCGTGATCCGTAGAAATCTCGAGAAAATAAATTTAACAATGAAAAAAATTGTATATTGTTTTTATCACGATATTTTCTGGATTTTTGACTTTTTAGTTGTTTATCGACGCTTCTCTTGATTTTGAGATATTTTAAAGTCTCTTCCCTAGACTCAAAGATTCATAAGAATGACTGAATAACTTAAAGTCAACAAAAAAAAATCTGTTGTTGTTTAACAAACAATAGATAATTTTTAACGAGTTCATGCATTATATAACTTCTTATACAAACACCAAATATACACCTTACAACAAAATTAAAAAGAAAAAAATTATAGATACATAATATGTGAAACCTTAGCAAATCAGAAAATCATAGATAAATTGTTAGTGTTGCCCAAAATCGGTCTTGTTCTTGCACTTTGCAAGACCTAAACCAAGGCTGCCTAACTGTTGTAAGACCAAGACCATGAGTGTTAAAAAAAGTTTATTTAAATAAAAGTTGAGGCAAAACAGTTACTAATACTCGACAATTTTAGTTACTATATATTAATAATTGGTATAACTTGGTATAATAATTGATAATTAAAAATTGGTATTTTGCATTTAACTCCTCTAATTTTTCATTCAGGCTTAGTTAGGTTTCTTATACCTAAAAAACTACAGTAATATCTCTATAGTAATATAGTAATAAGTAACTGCAAGACTGTTTCGAGACGCTTGCGCAAGATCAAGACCATGACCAAGACTAAAATATTGACTTTGCCAGACCAAGACTCGACTCGGTCTCGCATTTGGGCAACACTATACATTATGCAGAGTGATTCATGCTAAATAAAAACAAACTTATAAACAGTATATTAGGCATTATATACCACACAAATTTGAAATGTTGAATCCTGGTGAGTGCTTCTGTATTCCTTTTTTTTGTATTTATAAAATTAAATTATAATTAAAACTACATATGACTACAATTAATTCTAAAAGGTACTGCACTGTAAGTGTTGAGATCTTTTTTTAGAATATTATAGAAAAATAAGTCTCTCTTGTATTTTACAACTTAATTCACCGAATATTACTTCGATTTATCTAATAGTATTACTTAATATTTTGTTTTCTTCTGTACTTTAGTATGTTTAGTTAATCATTATTGTTATTATAGCTATTTCTTAATTATAAAAAACATTAAAGAAGAGAGAGCAAAAATTATTTAATTCTAGGAGTATGCGATCTTAATTGTTAAATCAATCTACAGAACAGAATAATAAAACAATACTAATCAAGAGGACATAGTCATTTAATCCTCGGAAGTATTTATTAACCACTTAGAATTTAGTGTTATCTTCTCGCCTACTCCTCGGTATATCTCCACTGTTTCCTTATGCCTCCTTACCGTAAGCCTATCTATCCTCCTGGCCAGGGCTGCCACCTTCATACCTTCCGCTGCCAGCCGCCGCACGATGCCTTCACCTATACCCTCGCTTGCACCGGTCACCACAGCAACTCTGTCTCTGAGGGCCTCCATCTGTACTTTAGCTGGTACCGAGTTGAACTGTTTCTGTTTTATAGCGACTGTGATGATAAAATCATTATCTGAGTGAATTATCGTCGACTCGTTATCAACTACGGTAGCGAGCTCTCTCTGATAAAGAGAAAGCATCCTGCATAAGATCATGTAACGATATCTGGTCGATACCGGTGACAAAAATCGAAACAATAAATTTGTTTAGAATTTCAATAGACACAATTTTTTAAACTATATTAAAAGAGCTTGTTTTCAATAAGACTGAATTATTATCTCGGTAAAAGTTGATTATCTCGGTTCCGAAAGATTAAATATTTGATTATTAATATGTAGATAATAATAATTTAAGAATAATTAATGGAATGTGATAGTCAATGATATTATATAGTTTTCTAAACTTTATTCCTTCCTGTAGTTAATTCATGTGACGAGTATGTCACTTACTGCTGGTGATTCGGTTTAAAATTTGCATCGATTATTGATAACAAGATGGTTCAATATCTATTTCATCAAATAACTAAAAATATAGGAAATACTTCCCCGTCGTACAATCTCGGATAGATGCACAATGGGTCCTCCCGGACTATTCTCACAATTCCATACGGGTCATGGGGGCTTTCATGCTAAGCTACATAGCTACATGCTTTGGCCAGAAAATAGACCCCCAATGTCCCACTTGTGGAGTTCTGGAGAATGTCGAGCATGTGGCCACGACCTGCACTACAATCGAAGGAATAAGGGCGACAATAATGAGAACCTCGGGAATTTATCTCTTAACTGAGGACTATAGGTGAGTAAGGAGAAATTCCCGCTGATCAAGAAATCCATTTATAGCTGGAAGGAGGAAGTGTGTCCGGCCTACTTCAACCTTGGAGTCAAAAGAGGACCAGCGCTGAGAAGACGGCATTCACCATTGATAAAAGTTCACTGTTGAAAACTTGTTTATGTTCAATAATCTTGATGTTCAAATATGTAAACTGTTTTAATTGCAGAAGAGGGTTGTCATACAGTCATGCGTAACACATCACTATTGCAAACATCGGTATAGTCTAATGGGTAAGGGATAGTGGCAAAGAAACAAAAAAAATTGATAAAAAAACTAAAAATGTAGTCCTAGTACGTTTGATGATTAAGCAGCCGTAATTCACGGATCTCAACCAATTCGTCCTCAAATCCTCAAACCTGAATGAGTTAATGGCAGGACACTGCCTGTTACAAAGGGATGTGGAGCTGTGGATGGCCTGTCGCATTACAATGAATAACGTGCTCCATAGCAATGTAGTTGTGGTCTCCTAGCTTGTTGTGCCCCCACAAGTAAGACACGTCTATAAGAAGTAAACTTATAAATAAAAAAAATTTGGCCAAAACATTACTAAACATGTCTCAGAAATCTACAGAAGAATGCACTTACGCGGAGGCTCCGTTTGTTGAAATCTTAGGCCGTACTTGCCTAACCGTTAATTAATTTATGACTACATGCTAATTAAGAATGCTTGTTATAAGACAGCTTCTTAATAATCATATATATATATATATATATATATATATATATATATATATATATATATATATATATATATATATATATATATATATATATATATATATATATATACAAATCTACAAAGTCGGCCTGCACCCTGGATGTGTCAAGAAATCAAGGATCTGCAGAAGAGGCGTGATGCTGCCCGCAGACGCTTTAGACGTACTAGGCTTACAGATGACTATCAAGCGTTTAGGGTGCTCCGCAATTTGACACAAACAAGAATTCGGCGAGCTAAAGCTTCCTACTTCCATGAAGCCCTGTCATCTGCCCCAGATCCCAAATCTAAATGGCTAATCCTTCGCAAACTTTCCCTCTGTGAACCTTCTAGATCCCCTTCCTCACTGTTCTTTTCCGTTTCACCTGACGATTTAAATTCACATTTTATTTCTGCCTCCTCTACCTCTTCTCTTCCCTCCTCTTCCAACTATGCTCCTGAGTCATCATTTAATGATGATGACTTTTATTTCTCCTACATTTCCCCGACTGACTTACTAACCGCAGTAATGAAATCCCACACCAATTCCATAGGACCAGATGGCATTCCTGTCAAATTGATAAAATTATGTCTCCCCGAAATCCTCCCAGTTCTCCTTTTCATTTACAATTTCTCCCTACAGAACTCAATATTCCCTTCCTCTTGGAAAAAAGCCATTGTACTCCCTTTAAATAAAAAGCCTAATCCATCCTCTCCCGAAGACTTTCGCCCAATCTCAATTCTTTCCAATCTCTCAAAACCCCTAGAAAGATTGGTACAATCCCAAGTTTCCAATTTCCTAGAAAAGTCTAACCAACTCGATCCTCTCCAATCTGGTTTCCGTCCCGGCTACTCCACACAATCCGCCTTAATCAAAATTACTAATGATGTTCAGACTGCAATAGATAATAAACAACTAACTGTCCTTATACTTCTTGACTTCTCTAAAGCCTTTGATTCCATTAACCATCCCATCCTTTTCAACAAACTAAAATCACTCTCCTTCTCCAATAGCTCCATCTCTTGGTTCCAATCTTTCCTATCACAACGCACCCAAGCAGTCTCCATTCCTAATCAACCACTATCTGCCTACCTGCCTTTATCCTCTGGAGTCGCCCAAGGATCTAGCATATCTCCTCTCCTTTTTAGTTCCTATATCAATGACCTCCATGACTCAATTCTCCATTGTTCCCACCACCTTTATGCAGACGATTCTCAAATATACCTATCCTTTTCTCCCCCTGAGCTATTGGTAGCATTTACTAAGATCCAAGCAGACCTAGATCGAATCTGTGCCTGGGCAAAATTAAACGGATTAAGGTTAAATGCTTCAAAAACTCAGGCCATTGTCATTGGTTCCAAGCCCCTCCTTAGATCCTATACGGACTTTCCCATACTAAACCTTGGTGACCAGCCAATCTCCTTCTACTCCTCTGTAAAAAATTTAGGACTATTTATTGATCAAACCCTCTCCTGGAGTCACCATATTTCTCACATCTCCCGACGGACAGTCTCTACCCTCAAACTATTCCATTGCTTCCGCCATCTCCTACCTCAACATACGCGCAGACTCCTCGTTTCCTCTCTCATCTTCCCCCACTTTGACTACTGCTGTGTGGTGTATGATGGACTCTCGGTGGAGCTCCGCGACAGACTGAAAAGAATAATGAACAGTTGCGTGAGATTTGTAATTGGTGCCCCGAGATACTACCATGTCTCTCACCATTACACTGAGTTAGAGTGGCTCTTCCCCTCCATTCGAAGACAATATTTCCTAGGTACATTCCTCTATCATATCATCAACAATCATCGTCCTTCCTACGCCTACAACCTTCTCCAATTCAAGTCCTCAGTCCACTCCCTCTCCACAAGATCTCGACCTTCCGACCTTTACATTCCTTCTCACAGATCTGCCTCGTTCCAAAACTCCTTTATTGCACGTTCTGTTAGTTTCTGGAATTCCCTTCCAATCAAAATTCGACATTCTTCATCCTTATCTACATTCAAAACCCTCCTATTCCAATTCCTGTCCCAAAAACAGTCAGGCACCAGCTAATCTTTTATGTAAAATTACACATTATATATAAGACCATATTCACATATAGCTCATGACCTGAATACTTATTATAGATTCGACTTTCTTTTTCTCTTTTTTTTTTTTTTTTTATTTTTAAAAAGAAAAAAATTTTAATGTTAAGAAGAATATACATTTATTTTTTCTGTATTTTTTATTTTTTCTAAAAGGGTTTATTTTTATTTTAACATCGTACATAGTTTTAAATATCTTAGTATGGTTTCAAGAGTTTTTTATATAGATTTTTATATTTTATTTTGTATATAGTATGTATAACCAATATTTTTTTCTTTTCTTTTCTTTAATGACTTATCATTATCTTAATTTGTTATGTTTGTTTTTATCTGGCCAGATGTAAAATTTTAATTTCTGTACTTTTTTGTTATTCTGAAGGGACTTCGTCCCAGAATAAAATTATTTTTCTATTCTATTCTATTCTACAAATCAAATTATAATAAAAATCATGACTCAGCGGAAAAGAAACTAAGGAGTGTTTAGACCACACGATAGAAGTGGAAAATCGACAAGGCGAGATTAATAATATGAAATATAAATTATAAATAATAGCTCATTAAAAAGAGGATGAAATGCTGAACATTTCCCTCCCTTACAATATGCAGGTCCTATTTTTGTTTCTGAAATATTTTAATCCATATCTTCAATAAAATTAGTTATCATTTGGTTTTCTACACTATTTTTTCTTTTTTTCCTCCCAATACGGTGTCGCATTAAGATCGAATTTTGAATAATGGCCAGTTAGAGATAAGATGGAATTTCGAACTATACCCTCGCTTACAGAATGCAGGTCCGATTTTTACTTTTTGAGATTTTTTAATATATATGAAAAACACTTCGAATAATCGCCTCCAACCGACTTTAACCGATCGTTAAACTTAAAAAATCTGACTTAATTTAATTCACTTCACACAAAAAAAAGTGTAAAACACGCCTAAAGCAGTTTTCACTTTAAAAAAGCTATCACTGCAATATTTTCTTCTGTGAGATTGGTCCCATCATGCACTTATACTTTACACAGGTTGTGGTGACATAATAACTGAATGAAAAATAAATTAGTATGATAATAAGTATCGTGGATAGTTATTATCAAAGTATTTTCAATTTGTTAGCTGAGTAAATATTTAAACAATCCTTATATTACCGATAAGTGTGAAAAGCGATAGTGTTACATAACGAGCTGAGTATAGGGAATATAAAGTGCTAGCTTACACTAAGTGAATAAGGTTCCTTGCTTGCTATTCAACCATATCGTGGCTTATTCAACCCAGGCTGCAAACTAAGGCAATCTACCTGAGTCATGGCTGATTACCTATAGACTTAAAAGTATATATATGTGTATATATATATATATATATATATATATATATATATATATATATATTATATACTATTATTAATTTTTATGTTTATTTATATAATTTTGATTAGAAATGTATATTTGTTTACATTAAATGCATTCATAATATTAGTTAGGTAGACGAATATATTTAAGTCTTAAAGAACTGTTTAGACTCATAGTACCTTTGTTTCATATTATTAGCCCATTAAGGTGACGCGATATGGAATATCTGTTAAGTATGACTGTTTGTAGGTATTTACTTTAGTTTATGTTGTGAATGCTTGTATCCAATCACACCATTGCAATGATTGGCTCTACACTAGAACGCCACTGCTTCTCGATCGTTCAATCGAGTCAGGCTATCAAGATTTTTTTTCTCCAAATTTAAGCCAAACACCTGCCAATTATATCATATTAGTCCGTGATGCAGTCCTCTTTTTATCGAATAAAAACATCAGCCTGAAAATTCGTGCTTGGCTTAATTGTCTTCAACGTAACCTAAAAAAATTTTCTTTACGAAAATTCTCAGAAATTAAGCGTTTTCTCGATAAATTAAATAATTTAATACGGTACTAAAAAGTCATGAACATCCATTTGCTTTCCACTTGAAATGTAAGATAGTTTGAACAAAAAATGAAAAAAAAAAAGTGACCTACAAAAATATTGAGCCTCTATATAACCTCATTATATTGTTGGGTGTGGAGGTCACGCCAAACGGTCAAATTTGTTTGTAGGCCATCCTTTTTTTTTTTTTTTTTTTTTTTTTTTATGTTATTGTCATACGATTCAAATGGAAGGCAAATGGGTATTCATAAATTTTTAGTATATATTTAAATAGACGTTTGCGAATATCCAAATTGAAAACGCCCCAATTCCGAGAATTTACATAACTAAACATATTGTAGTTATGATGTGATGGAGCAATTCACGAAATTTTTCGTGGATGTTAATTATTTGATAAAAAGGAGATGTATCACGGATTATATTTATTTTCTCCGGGTGTCTATTTTTTCGTTAAATAGTTCACTAACGAAGAAAAACATCTTGATAGGTCAAAGTTATGGAACATTGGCTCCCTTTAACAAATACAAAAATGGACATGGTGTTGTTTACCTCCGGGGAACAGATTTCTATGGTCACTAATTTATTTTTGTATTTCCTGTTTTAAAACGTTTTAACATTAGTCCAGCCATAGCAGAGCTACTATTGGTCAATATCCGCAGAACCATTCTACGTCATAATTATAGGCGATATCACTTATAATAAACAGCTCCGAAATATAGGCAGATGAAATAACAATCCTTTAAAATAACTGCTATACACTGCTAGAAGACTTTACATAACCTAAAAATATTTCATCATTAATGCCAAGTTTGAAAAATTCAACAAACTCATGAACATTACTTTCACTCTTCGATATGATTATTGTCATCCACTTTATCTCGACAATGTTAAAATTCTGCAGAAATATATAGTCGATAACCAAGACATTTGACCAACAAATGTAGCAAGTCTACCAAAAACAAAGTAATAATTGAAATATAAGATATTATTATACTTAGCTATATGATGAGGAAGTTGCTAGACACGTATTCCAGATGGGGTCTGAAAATCAGTGAAAGTAAAACAGAGTATATGGTTTTCAACGCTCCAAATTTGCCCCTTGAAATTGATGACTGGACGCTAAATGTCAGCCAGCAGTTCAAGTACCTCGGATACTGGTTATCTTCAAAGGGTGGTAGTGAGGTTGATATCGAACATAAAATAAATAATGGGAAAAGAATAATAAGTTCGATAAATTCAACCCTATGGAGTAAAGAAATAAGATTAGAAACTAAAAAGAAGATATACCATTCCTTTGTAGAAAGCGTAGCCACTTACGGATCAGAAGTCTGGACACTGACAAAAAAGTTGGAAAATAAGTTGCTTTCCATGGAAATGGATTTCTGGAGAAGAAGCTGTGGCATATCTAGAATCGAGCGGATTCCAAACGCAGCTATTAGAGACAAAGTCGGATGTCAAAAGAACATCCTTCACCTGATCGGGACCAAACGGCTAAAGTGGTATGGCCACTTAATGCGGATGGATGAGAACCGCTGGCCAAAGAAAATTTATAACTATATGCCACCTGAAAGAAGGAAGCGTGGAAGGCCAAAGAAGAAATGGACAGAGGACGTGGAGGAAAGCATGGCAGCCAGAGGGCTTCATGAAGGAGATTGGATGGACAGGGAGCAGTGGCTTTTGGGTGTTGGGGATATGACTCCTTAAGTTGTATAAAACCCAAATAAAAAAAAATAAAAAATTATACTCAATTTATTCAAGATTGAAATAAAACCTACACTGTTGTTGACTTCAAATTTTTTTTTTGTTAATAATTACCGTATGTAATAATGATAGTGAGTGAAAAATCAAATCTGAGAGATTTAATATTCAGCAGTACCTAGAAGGAGGTTAAAGGAAAATTTCATTTTCTTCATCATCCTAGAGAACCAAATAGTTTTCCCTTAATGAAGAGAAAGTCTTGACATTCCACTCCCGCGAGTTGCAATTCAAATGAAATATTATAATAGCCTAGGGAACGTTTGTTTATCAGTGGTAATATTCTAGTTGAATTTCATCTTCGTAAATTTTGATCATTGTTTATTTTTTCAAGGTATGGAAATAAAAGTGGTTATCAATAATTTATATTATTTCAGAATAGCATAAAAATAGATCTGAGGAACTTCAAATTAAACAGAGAACATTGGCAATTCTTGTTAGACGCTCCCCTACGCTAAAGGCACGCAAAAGAAGAAGGTATGTCAAATTAAAAAATAAATTAAATTTTATAAAATAAATATCATGATTTTGCAAGGGGATGGAAGATTAAGAGTTTATTCCGTTATACCAAATACCAAAAACATATTCCTTGAATTTATTTTTGTCAATTAATTATTTTGAAAATTTGAATAGTTAAATATGAAATAACTTATATCCTATATGATAAGAATATAACAGTATTCCTTATTTTAATCCAAAATAAATAGAATCTGAAGAAACAACTAATGTTTTCACTTCTGTCACTATGATACACTTCTTATCTGATGAAGTAATCCCTAAGGTGGATTGGTTATCCTATTTGTAATATGTCAACAATTATATTGTTGAATATCTGTTAACCAAAACTGTATATGAAGTAAAAGTGCAAGGAAAAATGGCGAGAGGAAGGCCCAGAAATACCTGGGAAGGTTCAGTCAGGAGAGGAATGAACTGGAATAAAGGCAGTCAGCTGATGTAAGAACGAGATAAATGGATCAAGCTCTATAAACAGGATCCTCTACACTGATCTAACGGTAGAAGAGGAATTGATTAAGAAGAAGAAGATGAAAAACTCTTGTTGAAACTAGCTTAGTATTGTGTTTGCTATTGCACTGTTAATATGAAAGAAAATATAATTCATTATTGGCACATTTTGTTGTATTATTTTTTAAAAAAGGCAAGCGTGCTGCAGGAGGTCATAGAAAAATTTGTATTATTTACAGGGATGATGCCTTGACCGAACGCACGTGTCAAAATTGGTTTGCCAAATTTCATTCCGGAGATTTTGACATCCATGACGTTCAAGGGTCTGGTCGCCCACATGTAATTGAAACGAGCAAATGTTAAAACCGTTGTTGATAAAAAAATCCCACCCAATCAGTGCGAGAGATTTCCATGGTCCTAAATGTGTTGCGCACAAACGTAGAAGACCATTTTCATAAGCTCGGCTTTGTTTCCAGGCTTAATGTTTGGGACCCTCGCATGATAATTTTACGAAAATCATAAACAATATTATAATTTCAATACGACTTTAGCTATCTACAAGACATTTTGCAGGAATTTAGGGCCACATAAGCTACACAAAATGACATCAGATGGATCTTCGTAAACAAACTACAAATGGAGATAAAAACCCATAAAAAGTTTTTGTTTATTAATTCCTTAAATGAAGTTTGTTTATTGTAGTCGTTAAATGAAAAAAAAACATTCATACGGCTTTGAAGAGCAATAATTTAGCTTTCCAACGGATATAGTAACATCGAATTTGGAGAACATCCTGAAGAGTTATGAATGATCGGAAGGGTGTTGTGTTCCACAAAGACAACGCTAGGCCCCACATCTTATTGGTCACTCGCAGTAAATTATTGAGCCTTGGAAGGAACCTTTTACCGAACCCTCCTTATTCACCAAACCTATCTTCAAGTGCCTACCACTTATTCCGGCCTCTGCAGAACTCCATGAACGGAAAGAAATGCTAAAAGTAAGAGGACATCAAAAACCACTTGGATCAGTTTTTTAACAATAAATTCCAAACATTTTATGAGCACGGCATTATGCAGTTAGTGGAAAGATGGGAAAAAGTCATATTAAATAATAATCAATATATTGTAGATTAAAATAGATTTTATTTGTATAATACATTGAGTTTCAGCTTGAAAAACCGAAAGGACTCAGTTGCCAACCCAATATATTTGTTTTTGAAGTAAACGTGTCGTAATATTGTTTGAAAAAAACCTTCATTAATGGAGGTTTAGCCAATATGTTTTTTTTTAATATATTTTTAAAAATCAATAATAGACATCTTTAAACAACTGCCGTGATTTTTATATTCCTCTTTTTTAAAAAAAATGTATCTAGATATTTACACAGTTATAAAAATAATTCAGTATGCCTCTACCTCAATTCAAATCCAATATAGGACAAAATCAAACAATTTTTTTTTTATTATCTCGAGCTTTATAACTTTTCTTATTTTCCGCCTCTGTTGGCTCAACGTGAAAAAAAAAACCACTGAAGTGCGATAAAGTTAATGCTAAGTGTTCTTACAGGCTTCTAGTAGCCTCTTTGATCTCCTTCAGTACCTTATAAGCCTTGTTACTTTTCCCTTCTTTGAAAGTCTAGATTTTTTTTTCTTTTATCAACGACGTTGGCGAAAATGCTATTAAGTCTGAAATTATACTTATCATAATTAAGGTGTATCTTATTGATGAATATGAAATCGAGTTTTAATGGAAATATCAATACAATTTTTTAAATTCTAATTCCTCTAATATTATACCCAAATATCACCTGTAAAACCATTTTCTTCCATGGCTTAGTTTCAATTCTTTTATCTCATTTTTTTATTTATTTTTTACTGATTTTTGAAATGTTTAGTAAGATCGTAGAATAATTCAATGTTAGAAAATCAATAGCTCAATTATGAGGCTGAAGAGGTAATGGACGTTAATGAACTCATAATTTAACAAATTATACAGTTGAAAAAATATTTATTAATTAATTGTTTTAAATGAATATGTTACTTATTATTGAGTCTTGAATCCATTTACAAATGCATATCTTTTTGGCTTATTTTTTTTTTTAAATATGATTTATTATATTTATGATACTAGTGACTAGTAACTAGTCATTCTAATTCTTTAGGAAAAGGTTTATGTTGTTAATTTTTGTATGTTCGGCTAAAATTTGATTTTTGTGCATATTTAGGTTTTAAAGGTATATATCATGTATATTTCGATCAATTGATTTTTATTTTTAGGCGTATAAAATTGCTTAATAATAAAATACAGCGTCAGTTTCTATAATAACTAATATTTGACAATATATTAATTATATTTTCAGTTTTCACCAATCACACTTCAAATGAAAAATCTTGATTATTCTAAATAATGTAAACATAATTATTTAATAACAATAATTTAATAATTTCTCAATAACAAATGTGAGCTTCAAAGTATTTTGAATGGAAAATCAATACATCTAAAAACAAACGTTTTCTCTCATCAATAAATAAAATTAGAAGCAACACTACTTTTTTTTTTTTCATAATTCGGTGAAGACAGCAGGTAATTATACATCCATTGGAGCCTAACTAGAAGAGGAGAGAAGTATTATAAGAGGCCCTTAAAAAAAATTATTAAAAATAAACCTAATTTTTAATTCTAACAACCCTTTTTTTGTCACAAAAAATTTATGTTATGTTTTGGCATTAAAATTATCATTTAACAAAAAAAAAAAAAACGGATACCCACGTTGGGTTCCTAAGCTATATTAGATACAGTTAAATAACTTTTAAAATAATGTAAATATCTTAAATATCAATAATATATATAGTAAAAAAACCTTCATTAATAGTGAAATGCTTTATTTTTATGGCTTAATATTTTCTCTTTATTACCTTCCTTCTCTATTTACTTATTATCATACTTTTAATAGCATATTATATGGCATTTTTCAACGGTTTATTTTCCATAACCCGGCGCCTTACATATTAAACATGGAAACTTCTATGTCTATGCAAAGTAGAGTAGTTAATGAAAGACAATTTTTTTTTTTAAACTGATATTTTTTTAACTTTATTTATGAAAATAAAATAAAAATCTATTACATTCAATAGTATAATAAAGTTTTAGTTTTAAGAAATCAAAAACAAAATTGTCTATTTTAATCTATTTTTTTGCAATAGAAACTAACAAAAAATTGTAAATATCTATCTCAGGTTTATGAGAATTTATATGCTTTATAATAACTTATTTTCATTTCTGGTAGATTGATAACCGTTCAGTGCTAATAAAAGAAATCGCGAATGATTGTATGAAAATCAGAAATTATCATAATTTAGTCTATATAATAAATAAAATCAAACTTAAAATGTTTTAAACAAATACCAACTGTCTTTGTATTTGAAGTAAATTTGTCTGGTAGACTACATTGCGTTTTTCAATCACCTAAATTAAATATCTTTTTAGGTTTCATTTTCTATTCAACAGAAAAGTTAAGACAATATTTTGAATAAAACACAAAACTTTAATTTCCTGCTTTTCTAGAAAGGATTGAACCACAGTCTATAGGAACTTTTTCATTGCTGTTGAATTTTATTATCACCTCCTAATATTTTCAATTTCTTACAAAACGCCCTATATTAACTAGGAGAAATTTTCTTACAAATTTACCATTCCATTTGAGTAACTGGACGAAAATAGAAGTGATTAAGACGGTCAGATGTAAAAGTCTTAAGTTATCAATAAAAGATAATTGAAACAAAAACCTGTAAAGTAAATTTATTGATTTTTTTTATTATTAAGTAACAGAAGTTATTTGAATTTATGTCACCCAAACTAGGATTTCATACTGGATCTATGATCATCTCTGATATCTGAAACAAAAAAAAAATTAAACTAATATTAAATTTTTGTTAATAAGACCAAATAAGAATATCAGATTATTTTTTTTTTACATTTATTACATCAATCTGGGCAGGGTTTAATAGGATTTAACCGATACAATTAGTACATGAAATAATCTGGAATAAAAATTAAAGGGTTTGGGATAAACTAAAGGTTTCAAATAATAATATTTTATTATTTTATATACAGTTCTAAGTGAAACTTCTAGCTGAACACACCTCCCTGAAGAAGACCTGCTAAGTCGGCATTCAATAAAATAGTTTTACCACTATTTAGCCTATTTATGACCGCAACCCCGGACCATCTCCTTCCTTTAATAATATTTTATTTAAAAAATAAATTGTATTTTACATTCTGTCACACCTAAATATTTCATTATATCAATAAACTAATTTTTTTTTTATTTAACAGGCTTACTGCCGAACAACATTTTCAAAAACGGTTCTACCCCGCCCATCTCCAAAGTCTGATACTTTCAAAGAACATGAAAACAGTACGAGTTTGATCATATGTGACGTATGTAAAATAAAAACGTTCTAAGAATTAACTCGTATCTGGTATCTACGGGATAACACCTGGTTGGCAGAAAACGTTTTAAAAAATATATAAAACATTTATATCAATTCCTTTTCCTGTTTTTTTATTTTATTTTTTTTTAATCTTAAGAATAAATAATGAGTATGCAAATTTTCAGTTTTGGCTTTTATTTCTAGATTAGTGCTACCAATGGGTAGTTTCTCAACAAGCGTGTTTCATGTTATTTTATTCCTCTGTACACATTTACTTGATGTATTCATACTAATACAGTTGTAAATATCATAATAAAAGTTACAAAAATTTCTAGATTATCTGTTCACTATTATTTGCCTATTTCTTAGCATCCCTAAATTCTAGATGCTGTAGTGCGTGATTGAGGTTTCCAACAGAGGTGCCCATCCCCCCAAGATATTTTATTACTTTCATAAGAACAGGGGTAGAATTAGAATAATTGCAGATTATAAAAAATTGCACCAGCTGCGGTCTGTTATATGTTTTCCCCTTGTCCCTTAGTCTGAAACTTTTCATTCTGAAAATCCATAACCGCGCCAAAATAATCCTGTCAAAAATTCAAAAACCCATCAAAATATGCCCCCTCAAAATCTTTGATGGCGCAACTTTCTGGTAGTGAAAAGATAATGAATGATCTTTCCGCTATATTCAGTATTTCCACACTCCTCTAAATATATGAGACTTGTTGCTAACATTGTTTTTTGGGTACTTGGAAATGCTCGAAGGCTAGAATAAAACGAATAACATAAGATAGACTCCAATTATCTTCTATATTGACTTTGTATCCACGGTCCCCACAATTTACCAAAAATAATTTCTTTAATAAATAATTAATAATCAATAATTTATATACTATAATTATTATATCTAAATATATATCATATAATATAATAATGAGGGGACTACATTAAAAAAAAAAAAAAAAAAAAAGGGACAAGGGAGAAATATAATACAGACCGCAGCAAGTGTAATTGTGTATCATCTACGATTTTTTAAATTCTACCTTAGCTTCTTCAGTATTTAAGAAAAAGTGAGCAATAAAATATCTTGAGAGGAGGGGGGGCAGGTTGGTTCTTGCGCCATCGACCTTGGGGGGGGGGGAGAGGATGGACACCAATGTATGTATATATATATATATATATATATATATATATATATATATATATAATATATATATATATATATATATATATATATATATATATATATATATATATATATATACTTTTGCTATATTTTCTTTAATTTGAAAGACTTATCTTAGGTTGATTTCTTAATGGACTGTTATAAAGAGACGATAATAGAGTTAAACTTATAAGGATGTTTATGTAATAAATTAATAAATATGCATTTGATATATATAATTATTTATTATATATAAATTGTTTTTTATTAATTATTTAATAAAGAACTTAGTTTCGGTAAATTATGGGGACATGGGAAACAAAGTTATCAAAGTCAATATAGAAGAGATGCCTCACCATGAAGCATATTAGAAAAAAATCCCCAGTCCAGAGCCACACTGCAATATGCCAAGTTAAATCAAGAAAGAAATTGAATTCTAAAAATGAAACAGAAATATAGGTATGAAACATTCCGACCCTTTTAATATATATCTTCTATTTCCATATATATATATATATATATATATATATATTTTCATTTATACACAAATGGTTTTTTTTTTCAATGGCTAATGAAAAATAATTTTAGCAAAATATAAGTTGAAATCAATGGATCTGTTTACAAAAACAATTGAAATATCTACTTAAGGTAATGAACTTCTGGAAATTTAAATGACGTCCGTCCATTGAGGAAGAAGAAAAAGGAAAGAATGAACACAATTTTTGTAGTTGAAGCATCCGTAAAAGAAAATAATTGAACCTGCTTCTTAATGTCCATACCAGAAACAATAAATCATCTTGGTGAATATCGTGCTCAGTAAAAGCCCTTCAATTCTCAAGACCACAGAAGCAGTATTCACAGAAGATTCATGTGAGAAGTGATTGAAAAAGAGATTTCTACCATTTATCATTTATCGTTATAATTTAATATAACCAATAGATTAACTTAATTCTTAGATCACTACTAACAGTGTAACATCTCATGATAAATAACCTATTAAAAACAATTATAAAGTCGGTTTCTTACATTAACATTGGACGGAACCGTAACAGCATAGACCAGAGCGTCCGCTATGTTCTCAGCTATCAGGGATGGCAAGTCTGGGTTTAACTCTCTGTAATAGTCTGTCATGGAAGTCCTAACCAGGCCTGGACTGATGCTCTGTATAAAAAATAAATACATACATATGTATTTATATACATTTAAATTCATATCCATACAAATTTTATGGATCATACCGTAACTCGAGTCTTTAATTTGTGCTTGATTATATCAGTCCGAAGGCTCTCGGTGATTACACGCAATGCATGTTTGGAAGCTCCATAGACACCAGCATGTTCCCTTATAGGTACTCTGTGTCCTGAAATGCTAAATCAAAGAAGTAAACTTTATATGAATTATAGGAGTAGAAACTTAAAACTATGTAATTAGATTATTACAGAAAGAAACATTGCCTCCAGTCTCTCCAATTTCTGATAACTAACCTGACAAGTTAGCGATCATCAATAACCCAATTTATTAATTTATTCTTTCATGCTATCTAGGTTAATTTTAGTCATCTACGACTTTTGCTGTATGTAAACTATTGCACGAATGGATGGGAGTGATTAAATATAGGAAAGAATTAAAAATGGTAAATTTCTGATCTATAAAAGTGTGAACAGATGGTATGTTCATATCGGGACGCAAGGTCTGATAATGGTTAACATCCGAATGTACTACCGTTGGGAATATACCTTTATCAACAACAGGGATCCACCTACGCAGAATCACAGTTCCTCAAAAGCGTAGTAGCTTTCTTGCCTAACTCCAGAAAGATGATGAGGACACAGACCCTTTGTGATCCAACTGTAAAAAGATCTACAAGGTTTGTAATGCCGACAGAAAAATCTGGTGCGCGCATCACACGGCTTTCACTAACGTTTTTCTTCTTAGCAGAAATAAGTATTTCCAGACAAAGGGAAAGTGAAAGAAATAGTCATAGACGCTATATTTATTTATATTTCATTGTGAATATTTTTATTTATGTTTAAATACCCTTATATGGACAAATTTTAATTTTTTTTTATCGCTGTATCATACACAATTAAATATTAAATAATACTAACGATAGACTTTTTGAAAACCGCATATGCATATGTACATAATATTCTCGGAGTCCGTAAATATCATGTTACGAATGGAAGCCTGTTGTAATCTTTCGTGCAAGCTCGGATGAGCTCAGATTCCTATGGTCCTTCTATTACAACTATTATTTCTCCATTAGTTAATTATCGAATTCTTTCATATTTTATATTTAACTATTTTTTACATCAAAGATTAATGTGAAATGGTTGATTATTTCAAATTTAAAAAATCAAAGGTACTTTGGAGGAAGCTAATATTGAAATTTAGCCATTTAAGCCCTGTTGGAGAACATCAATGAGAACAAAACCTACATTATATTAAAACTGCGTAATGTACTGAGTTTAATCAAAATCGTTAGAGCCGTTTTTGAAAAAATCGTAAAAATGTGTTGAATTGATTACATAAAGTACCACTTCCGGTTTGCCGATTTTTACGAAAAAGTTGTATCGAATAGTACCTGGTTATTTGGACTCAGATGATCTCTCAAAACTTGTATTTCCGTTGAAAACTCAGATCCAAAAAGTTCACGATCGCAATACTCACCCTCACTATATATTACATATATAGGTAAGTGAAAGTAAAAATAAAATAAATAAATTGTATATATATGTTTAGGAAGCAGACTTGAAGATAGGTAAAGGTAAAGGCCGAAACGTTATCGAATGTATTGGTTGAGATAAAATCAGTGAAATAAGTTCGAGAAGATTAAATTCATTTATATGAAATTATTATTATGATATGATAAAAAATTATGAAAACATAGAAGCCTTATAACGATGTGATATTTTATTTTGAATAATGTAATTTTTTTTGGTAAGGAATAAAAACTTAATAATCAAGTTGAATAAATAAAACTCAATGGTAATATTTTAGAATTTGTTAATGGAATTGTTTCCTTATCTTTTTCAGTAATTACAAAGTTTTTACTGATAAAGTCAGTAATTACTCACAATTACAAAGTAAGCGATAAATCTTATCCAAAGAGATAAATGTAGCGGTGATTATCTTAACAGAGTATATTTCTCAACAGTTTATCTGGGCGATAAACACATTGTATTCGGTGTTAGGGGCCGAAAAAAGAATTATCCAACATCTGTCAGTTCTCTTGGCCGTCTTTCAATTCCTACTGATTTTCCGGGCAGAGGGCCAATATAGCCCCTAATTTATTCATCCCCTCCCTCAACCCCTCAAACGTTTCTCTTTGCTGCTATACTCTATCCACTATGTCCTGTATATGTGATATTAATACTCATGTTTTATATTCTTCATAAAACATATTATATAAGGACACATTATACATGCATATATTAAATTAAATTAAAGGAGCGAATTTTTTGGAGTTAATATTACTCCCTCCACACACAAAAAAAAAAAATAGAATGAGGTTATTGTAAATTTATAGGTCTAGGCATTCATTATTTCAGTGTTTAATTCTCGATTATTTAATTCAGCGTAATTATAGATTACGTTTCAGGATCATAATAACATCTTCAGAACCACATCTTTCAAATATTTATCAGATTTACTCGAATAATCAGTTTCAAAACTGAAACAACTCAAAAGTCAAGGTTATGAGATAAACTATATCAAAAGTTTTACACAAAATATAAGAAAATTAAACGAAATATTCCATAGTGAAAAATCAATTTTTACACAGATGCTGAGGGCATTTTGAAATGATGTAGTTTTTTACCAATGTAGACGCGCGAGATATAAAAAAAAAAAGATTCCTGGCTACGGAGATCCCTCTCGTGTCGAGTAGAGATACCATAGCATTGATGAGAGCATGGCAGACCAAGAACTTATGAAAGAGAGAATTATGAGCAGAGAGGAGTAGAGGTACCGACTGAGGAAAAAAATTGGCTTAGGTAAACCTCAATTTACTAAGAAAAGACTCTAAATCACAATCAAAATGAAATAAAAAAGATTTTTTATAATTATTAATACATAACATAAAATTGGGCATAAAAATTAAATTAGCAATCTGCAAGTTTCTTTGCAATGAGCAAATTTTTTGGCAGCTTCACAGCGTCCCATCACAATTAAGGAAATAGTTCAGTTCAGTAGGTCTCTTGGCCACCGCCTGCTTAATCGTCGAGGTGGGCTGTACGGGTTTCTAGTGCTTTTAAGGTTTTCTGTCAGAGGATCTGTGTTGTAAGTTAGTCTTTGGTGAAAGTTATTGTGGTTTTCTTTTGCAGTGTCTAAAATTGTTGGAATGTTCATGTCTTTATGTAATCTATCGTTTGCGACATAAAATGGTGCGTCAACTATTCTTCGTAAAATTTTGGATTGGAAAGACTGAATTTTTTTTAATATTAGAAGTTTTAGCGGAAACCCACAGTTCTATGCCATGAGTCCAAATTGGTTTTAGTAAAACTTTATAGAGTGTTAGTTTGTTAGTCAAAGATAATTTTGAATGTCTGTCAAGTAACCTAGATAAAAGACCGTATCGTGTATAAAAAAAGTTAATGTTATTTTTATAAACAATTGTTTAATAGTTATTCTATTCATAATATTTACATAACGAGTGTTTAAGATTTTTCTTCATTTTTATAATTTGTGGTTACTGTGGTCTCTATTTTTTTTTGTAATATACTTCAATTATTTTTATTTTCCTGAGAATAATCATATTGCAATATTGTTTAATAAACACTAAAAAAACAAGAAAAAAAACACTATAACCCATGAAGGATCCTGGTTTAATTAGTATTCAGAGAAAGTACACTGTTTCAAGGCCAACGGTTGTGCAGAGGGAAGATCGGACCAGGATCAAGCTCAACCGCCAGGTTTTTTCCCTTAATTAATTATTTTAATTAAGGGTACCCATTTTGTAGAGGCTAGGTGAGCCCCAGGAGGGCCTCCTTACCCCAGGGTCACCCCACGGCCGATGAAATAATTAAATAATTTTACTGCCGTGAGCCGGGATTCACACCTGAGATCTTGAGCATTAGAAGTTCAGTACTCTACCACCGAGCAACCTCACTCCAAATGAGCATTAAAACCTATGTGTATTTTGAGGGAAATTTACATAAACCGTATGTTGATTATGGTAATGCCCAACAATGTCCTCATGCCAATTGTTGACAAGCAAATAATTGAGCGAAGAATTCTACAAGCTCAGAAATAATTACAATGATTCCGAATCATAAGAAAATAGACCAACTCTTATAAACAGTAAAGAGATTGAAAGAAATGAAAAATGTGTATCACCGTAATAAAACCTGAAATGAAACAGTTCCAGCGTAAGATTTGATGTTGGGAATAAGAGACAATGTTTTTCTACCCTCCAGAAGAAACGAGTTAGGAACAATAAATGGTATTTTCACGAGCCATTGCCGGCTAAAATGTCGTCCCAAGAAGATGAAGTCGGTAAAAGATTCATCCAGCCTTCTCTGTATAAAGGTAGTGAAAACTTGCTTGGTTAATGTGAATTCCTTATTTTTTTTTCGATATTAACTGGTCAATTAAGAGTACTCACTTTATAATGGCTTGGGTGTGTCATAGGAGGGTCTCCCCATCCGAGGGTCAATCAATGAGTGATATAACAGAATAAATAATTGCTACAAAACTGTGTTCGAACTCAATATCTTAACATAAACACAGGGACAGAGTTCCTTACTCACTAAGCTACGCCGTTCTCTAACAATCCAGTTATAGTAATAATAAGAAATTATTAAACCAATGAACATTTCCCCAATTTAGGCATTATCAAGAGTATTATTTCAAGCAAACAAAGATCCATATTATCAAATAATAATACCCAGTATCAAATCGGTGTACAGAACTCTTTATTATTATTTTATTATCAAATTACCAACATCCGACTGAAACTTCGTGGGTAGCTTCAACTCATCGTAATCTACAAATATTTTATTGACGAAAACTCTTGGTTTCAATCTAACAGTGACTTAATTGATATGACCCTGGATATGTAATTTTTTTTTTTAATTTTACCATTTATTCATGCAACAATCACAATGTTTCTTGTCTTTGTACAACAAACCTGATAATGGCTTCAAATGTCAAAATCACAATGACAAGTACATGATGAAGTAAATAAAGCCCTAAATTATTTTAAACTAGTAGGCCCGTGCGAAAAATTCGCACAACATATTGTTATAAAATGCCAAATTAATAAGCATATAAAATAATGCAACTTATCAAAAGATAAAGAAATCAATTGTTACTTTATCGATAAATATAATCAACAGCGGAAACAAAAATTAATTTAAATATTTATTAATGTTTGGAACCAACATGTTTACAAATTTCAATAAGCTGTATCTTTGCTAAATATTGTGCGTTTTCGATGATTTTTTTGATTTTTTGTTTGCCTTTTGTGGAGAATTTAGTTATGTCCTATATAGTCATGGACATAACAAAGGGAAAAGTGTGTAATTTTTTATTTATTCGCAAATAAAGTTTGTTTTCTTTCATAACTTGTTTGCCTGAATTGTTGGGGTGATTGGACTATTTTGCCCGCCTGAAGGAGAAGGAAGCCTTCGAAATTGGTGGCTCAATCTTGAGATTTGGTGAAGAATTAACGATGATATGCCTTAGCGATCAAAAACACCATCGATAAATAATATAAACTTCTCTCTCGATCATAGAGACCTCAAGTCGACGAAATCAGACATATATTCAATGACAGTAATACAATTAACGTAAGATTGCGTGAATGCGAACCCTATGCCTTGCGTTATCTCGAAAATATGTTTAAATAAATTGCGTTAAATAAAATAATATGGTTAAATAAAATAATATGGTTAAATAAAATGCCTTTTTGGGCTTAAAAACGCAGAATCCGATAGTTCCTAAGGAACTATCCGGGTTTTGCTGTTACAAAATCTTCAGGGTCCAATTTGTCTCGTATCGATCTACAGACCTACCACGGTTCCTGTATTGAAGCCTAGCAAAATGTTTGTATCGACTTTTTTTATTTTATAAAGAAAAAAAAAAGTGGAGAATACGATTCGCTAACCCCCTCCTCCCTCCCTCCCCCGTGAAATTCTGAATCCAACGGTACCCCATTTATGGTAATTGAGCATTACAGGAGCTTAAAATTAGAGTATAAAATCTATTTCGAGCCTTACTGTCATCATATATGTGGGGATATTTGTATTTTAATAAAAACCTAAAAAAATATTGTTTTTTTTTTTTTTAAATTCACAGTATAGCAAATGCCAAAAAAACTTTAAATATAAAGATATTATTGATTGATTACCTGTTGATATTAACAACGTGACCATCTAGTATAGAATACTTCTTCATCAAAATCAAAGCTTCTTTTATACAGCTCATGGGTCCGAGAACATTGGTGTTGAGGACAGCTGCAGCATTTTCCATATTGATGTCTGAAATAAAATTTATAAATTGAATATTTTTTTTAAAATATGGAATTAATGAATAAGTAAACTGTTAATTAAAAGTTTTTGGTCAACAAAAGTTTTGTTTCAAGACTTCATAAATTACTTCTAATTAAAAATAAAGAGAAAGAAACAATTACATCTTCTTCTTTTTACACCATGGTGCCGTTAGACTTGGAGCAGCCCCAGGCCACCTTCTCCATTAATCAGGATCCCTTTTTATTGTTCTGTTCTGCCAAGCATCTTCCTCGGGTTCTTCAAATCTCTTTATATATCCATCATGAGTGATCCGAGGAATGTGGGTTGCCAAGCGGGCTAACGCTTGTGCAAAACACGTCCTTAATGAAGTTAATATGATAAAATAATTACGAATCCGCTTTCCTGTACCATAGGAACTATTAACTCTAGAATTAATTTTAACCCTCTCCTCTGGACCGGGAAAAACTCTATAGCCTAAATGGTAAGAATGAAGAGGGAAAGAAAAGAGAGAATAAATGAGTTGATAACTACAGCCTTTATGAACTTAGAATCTTTTGCAGGTGATCTTTATCACACTGGCAAAATGACTACACTTAGGTCATGGGATACGATTGAAATGAGAGCGAGAACCTCAGTGAGTAAGGCACTTCCATACTGTTCCCCTGACCCCGAGTCTGGCTATGGTAGACACCTAATTGTTCTGTTGTATCAGCCATGGATCGATCCTAAGGTTGGAAGAACATCCTTGAGCTCACCCAATCTATAAATTAAGTATCTTCAATTATATGTAACATCGCACTGTTGTAAGCAACCGTATTGTCCAATAGTCAGGGCAGGAAGAAAAAAAAAAAAAAAAAAAAAATGGTGGTTCATTGTGTCTTGGCCAGACACTCCATGTATGACCTTTATTCTAGAAACAGTATACTCCATTACAAACGATTGAACCCAACATCCTTCATGGGTTGTAGTGGTACTTTTGTTGATTTTTACTCTTTAATGATTATTGAGCATTTACATACATTTACATTGAGCAAATACATTGTTCTATTCGTCCAAAGAAATTAATTAAACCTGAAATCAGGGTTATGTCATCCATACAGGGAACAGTCGTGCCCAACACAACTCTCAGATTCGGGAATTCCATATTTGCTTTAAGTTCTCGTTTTACACGCCTTCCGGTCATCATCAACCATTAAATTAAACAAGAGTTAGTTTAGACAAGTTCAGTGCCTCATTCTACTATAGAACAGGAATGAAAGAACATTGATTCAACAGGCATAACACATAAAAATACATAATTATGGTGTATTATCACAATTATCATTTATCATCTTCAGCTTAGTAAATCTGGTGAGATTTTCTTTCAATAACTACGGCCCACATGTTAGTCTATATGTGTAATTAAAGATCATTAACTAATTTTCTGATTATTTATTATCAAACGCAAACATTGATACAATAAATTATGTAACATCTTTAAGATAACTGATTGTTTCAATCAAGCATAATTTTAGGTAAAGATATAATATTTTGAAATAGCTTATTGGAATATTGAGTAACGTGAATAAACAATAAAATACTTATCAACCGGTTTTATTCATTTAATTTATGGATCCGTCTCTCTTAATAACTTGAAAAATTTATATCTCCAATATTCAAAATGTGTTTTATTTACCTACAAAATAATTATGCGGAATTTATTTTAACCAATTAACAATAAGTTGGTAATAACATACTCATCATATCAACTAAAGCTGCGGTTCCTGCGTTGTTGACAAGTATATGGATTCCACCAAAGTCCTCTTCAATCCTGTCGAACGCATCTTTAACACTCGATTCTCTTTGGACATCGCATAGGTAACCGTTTACAATATAATCCTTCTTCTTCATTTCGTTTTCCAGATCCTATAATAATACCCAAAACCTATATATAAATCCTTAATATAATATATTTTTTTATGATTAATATTGTTATTCTTAAAATATTATCCTACTTATCATTTCAATCCATTACAGCTGTCTGTATTATAAACATTATTTGTCTAGCTATTGTATACCTTTAATAAAACTATGTTATGTTTATATTGATTGGCACCTCTTTCTAATGTTCATTTTATTACATGACAATAGTCACAATTCTGTAACTATAAGAAACAATGCAAATTTTGTACACTTCTTGGATATTTAGTCATCAAATTATTTGCATTCTACAAACAGAAATGTTAGTTCCCCCCACCTCCTCTGACTATGTTTACCTACCTACCTTTTGCTACCTGTAAAACCACATCTGCGAAATCCTCCCTCGACCCTTTTACTTACCTACCAAAGTGTCAGTACTTGAATACCTTCAGTACTAGAAACACGGTTAGTAACATAAAATATTTCGTTAGTTATAAATTTATTATATACATTATTTTTAGTTAGTATACCTTTTTACATATTCCATTTGTATATTTCATGTATCATCGATCACTATATTTTTTATCATTAGCCATTATCTGTCGTATAATATGATATAGTGATCGGGCCTAAAACTTTACAATGACTGCATCCTGAATATTTATCACCCATTATATATACATACATATATATATATATATATATATATATATATATATATATATATATATATATATATATATATATATATATATATATTGGTATATACAATCTACACGGTATATACACAGATTCACGCTCATCCTACATTTAGGAGCTTTCTCTATTACAAATGAAGCCCAAAGAAAATGAATTGTAGCTAAAATTAACATTTAAAAGAGAAACATGAATGCGACCCCACAACTAATTGATGTCATTGTTCAACAAAATCTCAATGACATTGCTTTGACTCATAAGGAAATTTATTTGACAAGGTCAACAAGATACGCGATTATATAAACTGAGTCAAAGGCCTTTTGACAGTCAATCCATGAAACAGAGATGTTACGCTTCTTACTTTTTACTTGTGAAGCTATGAAGCAATTAATGATAAGTTCTTAACATCTCTTGGTATTCTCTCGCATCCCGAACTGTTCATTAGTAATTAATTTACTAACCGTTGGGATCTCCTAAAGGCCTTCTTTTCTTCCACGAGTGAGGAGAAAGACTTGGCTCTGAGATCTTGAGTGAATGAATTCTGTAAATATTGTATACAATCATGTGTATATTTAAGTAGTTATTTTGATTAGTTTAGTTTCTGTTTGCTGATATACATTTACTTTTAGTATTATTATTTTTGTGTTAAATTATTATTAATTTTTATTTATTTATATTTGTTAAATTTATTTTTGTTTTTTTTACTCACCAATCAATAAAAATCAATATTGAAAAATGTACTTATGAAAAAATGTATTTACCATTTACTTTATCATTTATCATATACTTTATCATTTATTTATCATTTACTATTTATTCGGTATAACTAACATAACAAATTATATGATTTGAAATCAAAATTTTCTGCATTATATCTCCGGTTATGATGACCGAAGCGGTATAGAGTACTAACGCATGGAGAAGAGCTATTAATGAACTGCTTTCGGAAACTGGAAAATTACTATCTCATAACATAAAGTCAAGCAGTTTAAGGTAGGCGAAGCATTTAGCTCGCATCAATATATTCGGAATACTCAACATAACAATTTTAAGAGTAGGTAAGCGACCGCATGGAAGGTCAAAACAGATGGATAGAACGAATTAACGAAGATGCTATATAGACCTGGAAAGCAACAGCTCAAGATAGGCAGAGATGAAGAAGAAGAATAAAAAAAAAATAATAAAAAGAAATAACTTCTACCACTACAGCCCATGAAGGGTCTTGGGTTCAGTACTATTTAAGGAAAATACTGTTTCAAGATTAACGGTTGTGCAGGGAGGGGATCGGGCAGGGATCACGCTCAACCGCCAGGTTTTTCCGCTTAATCAATTATTTAATTAAGGGTACCCACTTAATAGAGGCTGGGTGTGAACCAGGAGTATCTCTCTAACCTAGGGTTACCCCACGGCCAATTAAACAGAATAAATAATTTTTCTGCCATGGGCCGGGATTCGAACGTGGGACCTTGAGCATTGGAACTTAGTGCCCTACCACTGAGCTGCCCGACTCCCTGGTTGAAGCTGATTTAATCCAAGAGAAAAAAAGAAAGAAATATCGAAATCCGTGAAAAATATCCAGGTTCCATATTATTATTTTTTTTTTAATAAGCAACGTGGAAGAAAATATGAATCCATCATTTTTTTCAGGTCACCCTTCCTGTAAAGATTAATCGCGTTCAATGATTAATGACTGCAACGTTTTTTCTAATTAATTACAGCGAAACGATGTTCATTTTTTGGCATTTCTTCCGGTAGCAAGCATTAACATTTAACTATTTCCAGATGTTTATTTATTTTAGAGAGACGAGGAGAGAAACAAAATAACTTTAAAATTAAGTTATCTATTAAAGAACTGAAACTGTATTAATTCTGTCCGTATGAATATAAAGTACAACGATAACCATTCGGTACTGTGCCTAAAGTTTTTAACGGCCTTTCACTTGTATTTTGACGGTTATCGATCAAATTATTGTGCCTCATATTCTCCTTGAGGTTGCTTATTTCTATGGAAAACATTCTATGAACGAGATCTTTAGAAAACGGTTCTTCATGTTCATCTTGATCTTTCCTCGTCTATGTGAAGTGAAGTACTTTCCAACAGATCCACAAATCTCGGTCCTTAAAGAATTGTTATATCCTTTTTAAAACCAGACCTCGTCCGTCAAAAGCATCTTCTAGCCCTTTATCCCTTAGGACTTGCTTTTATACCTGAGGCTATACAATTCTCAGGCATATAGGACAACCTCAGAAGATATTCTTTCAGTATTTCCTCAGTAGGTCATATACCTAGTTTCGCTCCGATCGTAATTTTCCTCCACAGTCTCTTATATCATTTCCCTCAGACTTCTTAAGAACCTTCTTTCATCGCTTGGATCTGACTCCTGTGTTTAGTTGTTTACCCGTTCTGTTACCACAATATTAAGCCTATTATATCCCAACAACCACTTCTCCTAAATTCATAAACATTTTTTGTCTAGGCTTAAGATAACAGTTTTACTTTTGAAAGCACGCTAAATGGTATTCTTTTATCATCTAATCACAAAATTAAATTTTAAAATAAACTGGTTTCAATGGTCAGACTCTGATATTTATACCTAACAGGCATTTAAAAATAACTGATATATGCGCTAAATACCCATTAATTACATACCCACAATTATGCGGAACTAAACTAATTGTTACTTGCAGTTACATTTATTTGCTTATCCTCTTACAGTCAGTATCTCGATCCTCCTGGCTAGTGCTGCCACCTTCATCCCTTCCGCAGCAAGCCGCCGCACGATAGCCGCACCGATACCCTCGCTGGCTCCGGTCACCACAGCCACTCTCCCCTTCAGTAGTGCCATGTTGGTGGAACGGTCAATACTGATCGTTGCGAACTACAATTACATGATCTTACATCATCTTGTCTAGCTGTTATCAATGATCATGTAATCCTGATAAGGATTACAAGAAATAAAATAAATACATAAAAACCAGTGAATTGCCACATTTATCGCTTATATGCGTGAAACACTCGAATTCTTAAAGAGAATACTTTCATTATTTGAAATCATAAAAATAGTTGTTATAATCAATGTAGTTTGCAATAAATTTATATTGATAAAATATATCGATAAAAAAATGTATTTTTTTCTACAATATCCCGATGAGGTGAAGTTCATGAAAAATATCGCACTTATGGAAAAGTAATGACCGCTAATAATTTTAAAAAAATAATAAAATTTGTCCGGAACCTAAAATCAGCATTAAATGATAAAATACACCTCCAATTCCAAAACTGATGATAATATTCAAGTCCTTAGTATAGTTTGTATCATATATTAAAGAGGATGTAGCGCCATTAGCTTAATACCCCATTCGTTTCTGGTTGCCAGCATGAGTAACAATAAAAATGCTTCTACAATCAATAAATAATTAAATTACCACGAATAAGAAAATAATGGAGAAAGTTATATAGACTAGAACTTAGTTGTGCGTTTAAAACTATTTAGTATGTGTTATTTATCTGCTGATTTTCCTATTTATGTTCGCTTTTATATTACTTATTTTGTATATGACGGGCTGGAGGACTAAAGCTGACATTTTGTATTCTGCGACCAAGTCTGCTACTATGAAAAGTAGCAGCGGGCAATAAAATATGAAATCATGGTACTACAGCATAAAGAAATAATAATTTTTCCTGCTCTTTTGTAAAACACTTAACTTTTACATACGAGCTTTTGCACCAACAATAGCGATATAATTGTTCCGTGTGTACTGGGATTTTTTTTTTAATCGCGGATTATCTAATACGCAATCTGGAAATGTGTAACTCATCCGCATTTTAATATTCGCTGATAAATAAAATTCCTAGATATCAAAGCAACGAATTTTGAGAGATTACTGTATTTCCGAAAATGGTTTCTCCCCGAGATTTTATTCTCATACAAAAAATTAAAGATCTTGAAATATAGGTCCGATGAAAACGGTGAGGAAGCTTTACTGACTTTACTTGGCAGAGTTTTTTTTTTTTGTTTGTTTTTTAATCAAATGAGGTACCAGGATATTTTGTATTATTATTACGCCAACCTAACAAAAAGATTGTATCTCTTTTTTTTTAATTTTGTATATATGTTTTCCATTATTCAATTCTGAAATGTTACATCAGCATATATAATATAGGCCAGGAGTCTCGAAACTACGGCCCGCCAAAGTTTTGATGTACAATATAAATCATCAAATGTTAATGAAGTATATTATATTTGCTAGATGGACGATCGATTTAGAAATATATCTTTTGTTTTCGAGAAAAAAAAAACATTTATGCTTTTTTAAATACAAATTTATAAACCTATTATTACTTAAAAAAAAAAAAAACGTGTTTTGGAATATGAACATTCTATTCTTCCTTCACACTTATATTAATTCAAAAATATACATCAAATAAAAACTTGTGTGGACTGAATCTTCGAAAAACAAATTTCTTGTATGGTTTGATAAAAATTGTTAGATGCTGCATTTGTTAAAATAAAAATATATAAATAAATTATTTGATTTTACGATTTGTTAACAATAAATTTTTTTAAAAAATCTAATTACTTTTACAGAAAATAAATAAAAACCGCCAATATTTTTACTACCTATGCCAAATAAGTTTGGATATTGACCCGTAAATTGATCCTGTATGGGGATACTCTGATAAAGACTAAAATAAGAAATGACGAAAATAAGAAAAACAATCACACTATTAAATTTTTTAAAACTATTTAGATTTATTGAATTATTTATTATAATTATTTAATGTGTATAAAAATCAATAAATATACATATAGACATATTTTATATATATTTATTACTGAATATTCCTTCATTGATTATTATTACATTTTGTCACAATAAAAGATATTAATAATACATATAGAGTAGCTCATCCACATTCTAATACATTTATTTTAATCTGATTGTAAGTATGAATATTTTATAAATATTATAGATATTTATATTTTTCATATTTATAAAAATATTAATAATTTGTATAAATACAAAAACAACTGTTAAATAAAACCGTAACCTTGACTGAAGACGCTGATCTTATCAAACGATATTAGTTTATGACAAATTTTATCAAAGAATACTTTTTCTTTTTCTTTTTTTTATTTTACAACGTTGAAGGTCTCTGTCGTATTTCTTAGAAGTACTATTCAATACAGTTCACTGAACCCATTTTAAGAGGCAATCAAATTTTACTTACTCATTTTGACACCTGGTAGAATGATTATTTTTTATTCTTTACATTTCGTAATATTTTTCAGTCCGCCCGTTATTTTTGAACAGTCTAAACATTAATCAGTTACTTAATTTTGTCTTCCACGATTCCTTTGCATTGCAGAACTTATTATATTTTTTATTTACGGTTACAGAGATTTAAAATGAACCTTACATTACTAAAGGTAACTTCCTAAGTGATATAAATAACTATATTGTTACTACATCTGATATTGTTACAGCTAAGTATCCGGTTCTATAAAAAGAAGTTTTATTGTTTGACATTTTTTTTTTTAAATTTATTTAAAAAATTATAATGAATGGTATGATATATAATATTCATTTAGATATTATTTAAATGGGTTTGTCGGTAAAAAAAAAAAAAAAGTGTAGGCACATACCTATGTAACTTTTAATATTGTGAAGCATTATTTCTTGTATATGTTTAGTTTTTAATTTTTTAAGCAATAATAATTTAAAAAAGCATCCAATTTAAAAAAACAACCAAGTCCAAAACATTTTTTTAAAACTTATTTATTGAAAAATAATACAATCTGTCTCAAAGGACATTTATAATATTGTTCAGAGATCACATTCACACTCTATCTACATCCAAAACATTAAAAATAAATATCTTTGTCATTTTGTACAATTTTCGGATAATACTTATATAAAGTTATTTTATTGGAAATAATAAATAAAAGAGAACTGATGATCGGTAAAAAAAAAAAAAAAAATACAGCTTAAATATTTTTGCAATGAGTTGAAAAGCCTGAGGGGTAAACTAGCGATAGGAGCTGAATGGGACAGGGACAATACTGATAGTCTAGATTGATGAAGGTTCTATTCTCACCGATGGTACTAGAAACAGTAGCAGCTTACAATGGTCTCTCTAAGACCCTTAACCCTCTCAATGGGTAATTAGACGCTTTTGCCTACTATAAGGAGAGAAATTTCTATAGCTACTACTATTAATTACAAACAAAATATTCATAATGTATAATTACTGTTATTGCATAATACACCTGCTTTGCAGGATACCTGCAGTGATTAGATCAAACGCCATCAATTGATTAATTAATTGTCAATACCTGATTGTTCAGTTACATGAAACAGTTCCCTTTGCACAAAGCTCGTTTTATGCTATAATAACCATTATTGAATAGATAAAATGAAAGCAATAATTCGTATTGTTATTAATTATGTTACTGTTATTATTTATTTTATTTAAACCCTATCCTGCCGGTAAGGCAATACGGGTGTTATGCAGCAGTGAGTAGCAACGCATGCGTTACAACTCATTGCTGCATTCAGACCATTTTGCACTTTTCAGCTGTGCACACTGTCTGCTCTTCTTCTTTTTAGCCATCGTCGTCTTTTATCCTCTCTGGCGGTCTTCCGGATGCAGGTTCATCTCTTCTTCTCAATGAAAAGTGAGTTGAACCAACGAATTCCTTCCACCCGTATACGAAGGCCTTGTAGAACGGATATTTTTCTTTTGCCATAAGTTGAGGGAGATCGCTCTCCGTCAGAACGTAAAGCCCCGTCTCCCTCAACAACTTAGCCTTCAGTGCCTCAAAGGCGGTACAGACAAGGATGATATGCTCGGCGGTCTCCGGCACTCTGCAACTTGGGCATAGGGGATCGATGTTCTTGCCATATTCAACGAGCTTTGCTCGGAAACCCCTGTGCCCTGTGAGGAACTGTGAGACCCAGTAGTCCGGGAGAACCCATGTCTGTTCCATTCTTGAACGCACAGTGGTCTGAGAGCGGCCAAAACCCCTATTTTCAAGACGTTATGATAATTAAAATTTCTATGCTTTTATTTTCTGGCATAGTTAACTCATATATTCCTAAAGTTTAGGCAAAAATAAAAATATCGGTTTCAAAGATATTCAATAAAATAAGTAAAAAGGCTGTTCCGCCTCATTAATCATTCACCTTGTAATAAATCATTAAATATATTTTAAGCGTTTTCGCTGAATTCTGAAAATAATTTCTTGCTGTGTAATTTTTGGAAATGAGTCAAATAAGTTCTTAAATAAGTTATTTATAAATAAAATTTAAAAAATCGTACTATTTCATAGGAGAAGTTATCACTCAACGGATCGTGGAATTTCCTTTTTCCCTCGGAAAACACCTAGCGCCAGCGATCTTCATGATCTTACTGTAATCAAAATGTTTTTTGAATCCTTTGCTAATGATGAATGCAAAAATCAGCTGCGATGATTTGAGATTTTGCTAATTAACTGGCAAAATCAGTCAAGAATGTTATATCAAAAACAAGCAAGAAAAAAATCCTACTTGTATCTAAATAAATTTATGCCTAATATAATGGACTCTTTTCCGTCATAGAAAACTGAAGGAAAAGTTAGAAACAAAAAAACTGAGAACAAAATGCGAAGGAAAATATTTAATTGAAATTCAAACAATTTCATGACTCATAATTGATACTAGGGTAATTCAGCTCAGCACTCCATGTATTTGGTTTTATCTCTTACCACAATGTCTTCTTGATAGTAATATAGATGTTATATGCTTATGATAGATTCTGTCAATAACCTTATACAATAAATTTCCATTTTTACAACATATTACATGCAAAATATAATTGTAAAAATAACAATAATAATAACAGTTAGTCCTACCAAAAGTGCTTTATTGTATATTAATTTAGAATGCCCAACATCCTATAATAAATTCAGTTCAAATATCTTGCTTAAATTGAAAGTTCTCCAGGGTTTTTGACGTTTTTCCGTCCAGTGTGCAGCGGTCAGACAATTTTTTTTTTCTTTTTATTTGAATTTCGAGTTCTACGTACCCT